CTCCGGGAGCTCCTCAGGGATGGATTTGGGGTTTGGGGTTGGATTCAGGGATTTTAGGAGGAGAGGAAAGAGTTAAAGATGGCTGAGATGTCCGGGATATCCTGAGGGACAAATTTGGGGGTTTTGGGGTCGGATTTAGGATTTTTAGGAGGGAGGGTAAGAGTTAAAGGTGGCCGAGCGGGAGCAGAGAACTCTGGGATCTCCTGAGGGGTGGATTTGGGGTTTGGGGTTGGATTCAGGGATTTTAGGAGGAGCGGAAGGAGTTCCTGGGGCTGAGGTGCCTGGGATCTCCTGAGGAATGGATTTGGGTGTTTTAGGATTGGATTTAGGATTTTTTAGGAAGAAGGGAAGGAGTTCAAGGTGGCTGAGGCGCACAGAGAACTTTGGGATCTCCCAAGGGATGGATTTGGGAATTTTGGAGTCGGATTTAGGGTTTTTAGGGAAATGGAAGGAGTTAAAGGTGGCTGAGGTGTCTGGGGTCGCCTTAAAAAGTTTTGGGAATTTTTGAGTTGGATTTAGGGATTTTAGGAGAAAGGGAAATGGTTAAAGGTGGCTGAGGCGCACAGAGAACTCTGGGATCTCCTGACCCAGGGATTTGTGGGTTTGGGGTCGGTTTTAGGATTTTTTTAGGAGGTGAGGAAAGAGTTCCTGGGGTTGAAGTGTGTGGGATCTCCTGAGGGATGGATTTGGGAGTTTTAGGGTCGGATTTAGGATTTTTTAGGAGGAAGGGAAATGGTTAAAGGTGGCTGAGGTGTCTGGGAACTCCTGAAGGACTTGGGAACTTTTGGGGTCGGATTTAGGATTTTTAGGGGAAAGAGTTAAAGGTTAAGGCGCAGCAGAGAACTCTGGGAGCTTCTGAGAGCAGGATTCGAGTTTGGGGCTGGTTTTAGGGTTTTTTTAGGAGGCGGGGAAACGATCCCGGGGACTGAAGTGTCTGGGATCTCCCGAGAAGGTTTTAGGGATTTTGGGGCGGGGTTTGGGGTTTTAAGGAGAAGGGGAAATGGTTAAAGGTGGCTGAGGTGCCCGGGATCTCCTGAGCGATGGATTCGGAAATTTTGGGGTTGGATTTAGGATTTTTAGGAGGACGGAAAATAATCCCTGGTGCGGCAAAGAACTCCGGGAGCCGCTGAGAAAAGGATTTGGGAATTCTGGGGTCGGGTTTAGGGTTTTTAGGAGGAGGGGAAAGAGTTAAAGGTGGCTGAGGTGTCCGGGATGGATTTGGGATTTCTGGGGCTGGATTTAGGATTTTTTAGGAGGAAGGGAAATGGTTGAAGGTGGCTGAGCTACACTGAGAACTCCGGAATCTCCTCACCGACGGATTTGGGAATTTTGGGGTTTAGGATTTTAGGAGGAGGGGAAAGAGTTCCTAGGGCTGAGGTGCCTGGAATCTCCTGAGGAATGGATTTGGGATTTTTAGGGCTGGATTTAAGAGTTTTTAGGAGGAAGGGAAATGGTTAAAGTTGGCTGAGGTGTCTGGGGTCTCCTTAAAAGGTTTTAGGAACTTTGGGGTTGGGTTTGAGGTTTTTTAGGAGGAGGGGAAAGAGTTGAAGGTGGCTGAGCTGCGCAGAGAACTCCGGAATCTCCTGCCGGATGGATCTGGGAATTTTGGGGTCTGGTTTAGGGTTTTTAAGAAGAGGAGAAAGAGTTAAAGGTGGCTGAGGTGTCCGGGATGGATTTGGGATTTTTGGGGCTGGATTTAGGATTTTTTAGGAGGAAGGGAAATGGTTGGAGTTGGCTGAGCTACACTGAGAACTCCGGAATCTCCTCACCGACGGATTTGGGAATTTTGGGGTCGGGTTTAGGATCTTAGGAGGAGGGGAAAGGGTTAAAAGTGGCTGAGGTGCCTGGGATCTCCTGACCGACGGATTTGGGATTTTTAGGGTTGGATTTAGGATTTTATTTATTTTTTTTTTTAGGAGGAAGGGAAAGAGTTAAAGCTCGGGGTGCAGCAGAGAACTCTGGGAGCTCCTGCCCGGGGGATTGGGGAACTTTTGGGGCTGTTTTTGGGGTTTTAATGCGGAAGGGATGCGCCGCCTGTGAATGGCAGGAAAAATCTCCTTTTCCAAGGAATCCCTGGAGTTCCCAGCAAATGGGAGCGAGCCCGGAAGGAGGAGGAAAAAAAAAATCCCAAATTTTTTTGGTTTTTTGGGAGGGGGGAGAAGCGCTGTGGGAACAGAGCGGGGCTGAGAAACGAAACTTGCCCCAAACCCCTCCTGACCCTTTTTTCCTTTCAGTTCCCGAAATTTCAACTTCCCGAAAGTTCAACTTCCCCGAAATCCGGGATGACAAAATCCGGCCTGACAAAATCCGGCCTGACAAAATCCGGGATTATTTAAATAAATAAATTAAAAAAAAAATAAAAGTCGGGGGGAAGAGGAGGAGCAGGAACTTTGGGGAGCCAAGATTTGGGATTTTGTAATCCCGGCTCCCGTGGGTGTTTGGGATTTGGGGCTCAGCCTCCAAATGTGGGAGGGAGATATGGGAGGGAAAAATTCCAGCCTCGGGAACAGCGAGAATTCCCGGATTTCTGCGCCTCCCGGAGATTTTCCCAGCCGGGAGTTTTCCTGCGCTGCCTCATTCCAGGTGGGTCACCCCAAAATCCAGCAAATTCTGGGATTTCCTGCTTGGTTTTGGGATCACTTTGGTTTAGTCCGGAGCAAACTTGAGAATGCTTCCCCCAGGTAGAACCGGGATCAAATTCCAAATCGCGGAGCGGATTTTCCCATAAAACCCCGCTTTTCCCTAAGGAATTCCCGGTCTTTTTAAGGGATTTCACTGCCGGCGAAACCGAAACCCCGAACTAAGCCCGGTCCTTGCTCCCGCCGCGGCTTTTCCAGGCGGGACTCCCCGATCCTGCTCCGCTCCTGCAGGGAGGGATTTTCCAGCCTCGCCGGGAATTCCAGGGCGGATGAAACAAAGCTGGAGAAGCCGCGGCGGCGCCAAGAGATCGAGGATTAAAGCCGGGTTGATAAGCTCGGCTTAGCTGGTTTCTGTCCGGGGGGAGGTGATCCCAAAAAATCCCTTCCCAGAGCTCCAGAATTCCATGGGAAGCCGGGATCCAAGGCTCGGTTTTGGGCGCTTTGGAGGCTTTTAAAAATAATAAAGAATTAAAGGCAGAGGAAGGGCTGGGTTTAAACTTTGGTTTATTTGGGGCTGGGCTTAGTCTGTGGTTTAAACTGTGGTTTCGTTGGGGGCTGGGTTTGAACTTGGGTTTAAATTGGGGCTGGGTTTGAACTTGGGTTTAAATTGGGGCTGGGTTTAAACTTGGGTTTAAATTGGGGCTGGGTTTAAACTTGGGTTTATTTTGGGGTTGAGTTTAAACTTGGGTTTATGTTGGGTTTAAACTTTGGTTTATTTTGGGGTTCAGTTTAAACTTTGGTTTAAACTTTGGGTTCATTTGAGACTGGGCTTAAACTGTGGTTTAGTTTGGGGCTGGGTTTAAACGGTGGTTTAAATTGGGGCTGGGTTTAAACTTGGGTTTATTTTGGGGCTGGGTTTAAACTGTGGTTTTGTTTGGGGCTGGGTTTAAACTGTGGTTTATTTTGGGGCTGGGTTTAAACTTTGGTTTAGTTTGGGGCATGTTTTAAATTTGGTTTTGATTTGGAGCTGGGTTTAAACTGGGTTTAAATTGGGTTTACGTAGGCCTGGCCTAAAGCTGAGGCTGTTTAGGGCAAACCCCTTTGGAATGTGCAACTGCTCCCTGCAGTGGCTTCAATCCCAAAGAGCAGGAAAATGGGAATTTTTGGGAATGTGGGTGGGATTATCCCGAAAATCCAGCCTGGAGTGCATTTTGGAGGCCAAAAAATCTGGGAATTCCAGAGGAATTCCAGAATAACAGGGAGGAACAGGGACTAAAGTTGGTAATTTGGGGATTCCTGATTCCGGAGTTGGTTTTGTTTTTTTTGGGAATAGGAGCAAAATAAACCTAGGGAAGCCTCCCGGGTTTAGTTCTGCTTGCTAAAACCAGCTCTAGTTAATCCCGGCCTAGCTGGGCCACAGGCCTGACCTGTTTGGGAATGTTGACATTCCAAAGGTGTTGGAAAAGGCCTCATGCAAAGCACCCGGAATTCCCTTGGGAAAGGCTTTGGGCAGGAAAGCACCGGGGGGAATTTCTCAGGGAATTGTGGGAAATTCATCCAGGAATTGTAGGAATTCTTTCTGGGAATTGGGGGAATTTTCTTTGGGAATTGGGGGAATTTTCTTTGGGAAAATAAAAATAATCCTGCTGGATATTCCATTAATTCCTGAAGGGATCGATTCCAGGTTTTTCTGAATATTTTGTGGCCCTGAGATCGATCGTTGGGAATTTGGGAAAAGAGGGAGAAGAATGGGAATGAGATGGGTGGGAAGAGATTTCTCCTTCATCCCATGGATTTCTGGGATTTTCCCCTCTGGAATGCATCAGGATAACCACAAGGAATTAATTCCAGGCTTTCCAGCATTGAGATCATTGGGAATTTGGGAATGGGTGGGATGGGAATGAGATTTCTCCTTCATCCCTTGATTTCCAGGATTTTCTCCTGGGAAAACCCCTCTGGAATTCATCAGGATTAATGCAAGGAATTTCAGGCTTTTCCCGATTATTGGGAATTTTGGCAAAGAGGGCTGGGAACGAGCAGGGCAGGAATGAGAGTGGTGGGAAGAGATTTCTCTTTTATCCTTTGGATTTCTGGGATTTTCTCCTGGAAAAACCCCTCTGGAATGGGAAAATCCCCATCAAGATTAACACAAGGGATTAATTCCAGGCTTTTCCGGCTCTGAGATCATTGGGAATTTGGGAAAATTTGGGAAAGTTCAGGAAAACTGGGCTGGGCTGTCTCTGGTTGGGCTGTTTGGTTTCAGTTTCTCTCCCAACTTTTCCTGAGGAATTTTTGTGATCGGCCCCACCCCAGAGTGGGGCCAAGGGCAGGGGAGCTTTGCTGGAAATCCAAGGAAAAACCTTGGGGATAGAATCCAATGGGTTTACAGGGATTTGATTCATTCCCGCTGTTTTCCAGGCCATGTCCACAGCTGGAATTTCAGGGATTCTGGGATTGTTGCTCCAGCTGGAGGAAAACTTCTCCTCCTGCCTGGCCCGGATCGACGCCCTCATCCTCAAACCCCTGCTCCAGGCAGGTAAATTCTGGGAATTTTTCTCTGGAATTCCCCCCTGGAATTGATCTGGGAAGGGATTTCTGGCTGGAATTCCTGTTAGGAAATGTTTTGTGGGAATGTTTTCCTTAAAATAGGGAATGGGGAACGAGGCCAGGGCGGTTTTTTGGGATCAATCCGTGTTTTCATCGGGATCAGCGTTCCCGATCCAGGGAAATTCATGGCCCTGATTTTTCTGGCTGGGGCTTTTCCAGGAATTCCTTTTGGGATGACTCCAAGAAAACTGGGAATGGTTCTTTGGGAAAAGGGGGGAATTTTCCCTCTGGGGCAGCGGGATGAGCGTCCAGAGAGTTTGGGATGGAGTTTGTCCCATTCCAGCAAAAACAGCTCCATGGCCTCCAAAAATTCCTGGAGTTTCCCCCTTTTTTCCCCCATTCTTCCCATTTTTTCCCGCTCTCTATTTTCCCAAATTATTGAATTCCTTCCAGTCAAAAAATCCTGGAAATTCCCTTTTTTCAGATCTATTTTTTTCCCATTTTTCCCCCCCTCTATATTCCCAAATTATTTATTTCCTCCGGGAAAAATGGCTGCATGGGCTCCAAAAATTCCTGGAATTATCCCAGTTTTTTCCGTTTTTCCCATTTTTCTCCCTCTTATTTTCCCAAATTATTCAATTTATTCCAGCAAAACGGCTCCTTGGCCTCTGAAAATTCCTGGAATTTCCCCTGGTTTTCATTTTTCCCATATTTTCTTCTCTCTACATTCCCAAATTATTCAATTCATCCCTTCCAACCAAAACAGCTCTGAAAATTCCTGGAATTTTTCATTTCCCAGAATTTCTCAACCACAAAATTCCACAAAATCCCTTTGGAATTCCACTTTTCCCACAGGATTTTCCCAATTTTTCCCTCCCAGAGCCGCAGGATCCAAAGGAAAAGGAGAACTTCCAGCTCTTTGTGCTCCTCAATGATCGCTTCCAAACCCTCTGGAATTTCACGGAGGAGAATTCCCGGATCCTGAGGGGGAAATCCCAGCTGGAAAATTCCGGTTGTATCCAGGATTTTTACATCCTCTGGAAAGGAGAGGTTTTCCTCAGCCTCTACATCCAGTGAGTGCTGGAATATTCGGGATTGGGTGGATCCCATTGGGAATATTGGGAAAAATTGGGATGAGAGCCCACAGAGAGAAAATATCCTTGGAAAATGGGTTGGGTTGGATTTTTCCAGGATTTTGTGTTTCTGGATTGGGATCAGAGATCCCAGCGGGAATGAAATTTTACGGAGAGCTGAAATTCCATAAAAATCTTCAATTTCGCATTTTTGCTTCTCCATGGAAGCGGCCAAAGCCTTCCCAGTTTGGGATTTCCCAGTTTGGGATTTCCCAGTTTGGGATTTCCCAGTTTGGGATTTCCCAGGTGGATGAGGTTTTGGATGATCCAGAGGAATTTTCCCGAGATTTTATTCCTGGTTTTTTTTTGGAATTAAACCCAGGTTTAATGCTGGGAAAATGTGGGATTTACATGGAAAATGTGGGATTTGCTGGGAGAACACGTAGGATTTGCTGGGAATTTTTGGTACAGAAAATGCTGATCTTGGAAGAAAATCTTGGGAAATACGAGATGGAAAAAAAGAAAATTCCAAGTTTTACTTGGAAAAATAAAGTTCGGAGCTGGAGTGTGACAATTCTGTTATTTCCATCCCAGAATTCCCAAATTTTCCCAATTTTCTTGGGAATTCTGTGCTGAAGAGTCTGTGAATGAACAGCTCGGAGCAGAAAATTCCTTTATGGAATTTCGTTCTGTAAAATCTGATGGAAGCGAATCCCAGGATTATCAGCACTTTTGCCTTATCCAAATCTGCCAAAAAATCCCGGAATTAAGATTGGGAAAGAATTCCAAGATCTGATCCAGCCTTTGATCCCAATCCATCAAACGTCTGGGCCTGCATTTTTCCAGAGGTGCTTTTATGGGACTAAGGGAACTTCCCAAAAAGTTGAGATCCATAAATTCATCCTGAATTTCCCTCCCAAACTTCCCTCCTTGGAATTTTTTCCAGGTATTTCGTCACCTTCGCCAACTTTGTTGTGGTCCAGGGCTTCGAGCAGGCCGCCAGGAGCAAGAGGTCAGCGGGTGGAAAATCCTTGGGAATTTTGGGAATCCTTGGGATACGGGGACGTCGGAGAATCTCAGAATTCCAGAATGGTTTGGAAAATTCCCAAAAAAAATCCTCTCATCCTATCCTGGGCCAGCTCCCTCTGTGGTTGCTCCAAGCCCTTTCCAACCTTGGACAATTCCAGGATTGGATTTTCCTCTTCCCAACCACCCCCAGCTCCTTCTGGAGCTGGAAACTTGGGATTTGGGGAAAAGATGGAATTGGAGAGAGGAATTTGGCTGGGAATTCCCACTTAGGCCAGATTTTTATGGAAGCAGGGAATGAAAGCATGGATTTCTAAGGAGCACATTCCCAATTTTTCCATGGCTCCCGCTATCCCAGGTTGCTCCAAGCCTCGTCCAATTCCAGGATTGGATTTTCATCTTTCCAACCATCCTGAGCTCCCTCTGCAGTTGGAAACTTAGGATTTAGGGATTTAGGGAAGGGGTGGGAATCTGGCAGGAAATTCCCACTAATCCCAGATTTTTATGGAATCAGGGAATGAAAACATGGATTTCTAAGGAGCACATTCCCAATTTTTCCATGGCTCCTGTTATCCATGGATGGATTCCCTCTTTCCCAGTTCCCTCTTTCCAACCACCCCCAGCTCCTTCCAGAGATGGAAATTTAGGATTTGGGGATTTAAGGAAGGGGTGGGAATCTGGCTGGGAATTCCCACTAATCCCAGATTTTTATGGAAGCAACAGCTGCAAACGTGAATTTCTAAGGATCACATTCCCAGATTTTTCACGGCTTTCTCCATCCTCACCCAACGCGGAAAGTCTGGAAAACAGAAGAGTGGGAATTCCAGGATAATTTAACGACCCTTTCCCATCATTCCCAATTTTCCAGCGACGCCTGGAAGCTGCACAAGGCGGTGCTGAAGGAATTCCTGCGGGATTTCACCTCGGAGAGCTCCCTGGGCCTGGCCCTGCACCTGGTGCTCCACAAACCCTTCCGGGAGCACATCCAGGGCTACCTGCAGCTCCTCTCACAGCTCCAGGAGCAGCTCCAGGAGGTGGGGATTCCCTGGAATGCGCAGGGGGATCTTCTTTATGGGTTTTGTGGCAAGAAATATTCCCTGAAATTCAACCTGGATCTCTCCTTCGCTAATTGTTCCTGAAAATCCAGCCTGGAACTTGGTTAGTCCAGGATGGAGGCGTTGCTGAATGTTCCCAAAAATCCAACCTGGAATTCCTTTCCTAAATATTCCCCAAAATCCAACCTGGAACTCCTTTCCTAAATATTCCCCGAAACCAGCCTGGACCTTTTTTGATCCATGGTGGACAAGTTGCTAAATATTCCCAAAAATCCAACCTGGACCTTCTTTGCTAATATTCCCCAAAATCCAGCCTGGAACTCTTTTCCTAAATATTCCCAAAAATCCAACCTGGAACTCCTTTCCTAAATATTCCCTAAAATCCAGCCTGGACCTTTTTTGATCCATGGTGGACACATAGCTGAATATTCCCAAAAATCCAACCTGGAACTCCTTTCCTAAATATTCCCCAAAACCAGCCTGCACCTTTTTTGATCCATGGTGGACACGTTGCTAAATATTCCCAAAAATCCAACCTGGACATTGCTAAATATTCCCAGAAATCCAACCTGGACATTGCTAAATATTCCCAATATTTTGGGTTGCTAAAATCCAACCTGGACCTTCTTTGCTAAATATTCCCCAAAATCCAGCCTGGAACTCCTTTCCTAAATATTCCCAAAAATCCAGCCTGGACCTTTTTTGATCCAGAATGGACACGTTGCTAAATAGTCCCAAAAATCCAACCTGGAATTCCTTTCCTAAATATTCCCAAAAATCCAGCCTACACCTTTTTTGATCCATGGCGGACATGTTGCTAAATATTCCCAAAAATCCAGCCTGGAACTCCTTTCCTAAATATTCCCAAAAATCCAACCTGGAACTCCTTTCCTAAATATTCCCTAAAATCCAGCCTGGACCTGTTTTGATCCAGGATGGACACGTAGCTGAATATTCCCTAAAATCCAACCTGGAACTCCTTTCCTAAATATTCCCTAAAGTCCAGCCTGGACCTTTTTTGATCCAGGATGGACATGCTGCTAAATATTCCCAAAAATCCAGCCTGGACATTGCTAAATATTCCCAATATTTTGGGTTGCTAAAATACAACCTGGACCTTCTTTGCTAAATATTCCCCAAAATCCAGCCTGGAACTCCTTTGCTAAATATTCCCTAAAATCCAGCCTGGACCTTTTTTGATCCATGGTGGACATGTTGCTAAATATTCCCAAAAATCCAACCTGGACATTGCTAAATATTCCCAGAAATCCAACCTGGACATTGCTAAATATTCACAATATTTTGGGTTGCTAAAATACAACCTGGATCATCTTTGCTAAATATTCCCCAAAATCCAGCCTGGAACTCTTTTCCTAAATATTCCCCAAAAATCCAACCTGGAACTCCTTTCCTAAATATTCCCTAAAATCCAGCCTGGACCTGTTTTGATCCAGGATGGACACGTTGCTAAATATTCCCAAAAATCCAGCCTGGAACTCCTTTCCTAAATATTCCCCAAAATCCAGCCTGGACCTTTTTTGATCCATGGTGGACACGTTGCTAAATATTCCCAAAAATCCAACCTGGACATTGCTAAATATTCCCAATATTTTGGGTTGCTAAAATACAACCTGGACCTTCTTTGCTAAATATTCCCAAAAATCCAAGCTGGAACTCCTTTGCTAAATATTCCCTAAAATCCAGCCTGGACCTTTTTTGATCCAGAATGGACACGTTGCTAAATATTCCCAAAAATCCAACCTGGAATTCCTTTCCTAAATATTCCCAAAAATCCAGCCTGCACCTTTTTTGATCCATGGTGGACATGTTGCTAAATATTCCCAAAAATCCAACCTGGAACTCCTTTCCTAAATATTCCCTAAAGTCCAGCCTGGACCTTTTTTGATCCAGAATGGACACATAGCTGAATATTCCCAAAAATCCAACCTGGGCATTGCTAAATATTCCCAAAAATCCAACCTGGACATTGCTAAATATTCCCAATATTTTGGGTTGCTAAAATACAACCTGGACCTTCTTTGCTAAATATTCCCCAAAATCCAGCCTGGAACTCCTTTCCTAAATATTCCCCAAAATCCAGCCTGGAACTCCTTTGCTAAATATTCCCTAAAATCCAGCCTGGAACTCCTTTGCTAAATATTCCCTAAAATCCAGCCTGGACCTTTTTTGATCCATGGTGGACACGTTGCTAAATATTCCCAAAAATCCAGCCTGGAACTCCTTTGCTAAATATTCCCTAAAATCCAGCCTGGAACTCCTTTCCTAAATATTCCCTAAAATCCAGCCTGGACCTGTTTTGATGCAGGATGGATGTGTTGCTAAATATTCCCAAAAATCCAACCTGGAACTCCTTTCCTAAATATTCCCAAAAATCCAGCCTGGACCTTTTTTGATCCATGGTGGACATGTTGCTAAATATTCCCTAAAATCCAACCTGGACATTGCTAAATATTCCCAATATTTTGGGTTGCTAAAATCCAACCTGGACCTTCTTTGCTAAATATTCCCCAAAATCCAGCCTGGAACTCTTTTCCTAAATATTCCCTAAAATCCAGCCTGGACCTGTTTTGATGCAGGATGGATGTGTTGCTAAATATTCCCTAAAATCCAGCCTGGAACTCCTTTCCTAAATATTCCCAAAAATCCAACCTGGAACTCCTTTCCTAAATATTCCCCAAAATCCAGCCTGGACCTTTTTTGATGCAGGATGGACACGTTGCTAAATATTCCCAAAAATCCAACCTGGAACTCCTTTCCTAAATATTCCCAAAAATCCAACCTGGGCATTGCTAAATATTCCCAATATTTTGGGTTGCTAAAATCCAACCTGGACCTTCTTTGCTAAATATTCCCCAAAATCCAGCCTGGAACTCTTTTCCTAAATATTCCCTAAAATCCAACCTGGGCCTTCTTTTCTAAATATTCCCAAAAATCCAGCCTGGACCTTTTTTGATCCAGGATGGACACGTTGCTAAATATTCCCAAAAATCCAACCTGGACATTGCTAAATATTCCCAAAAATCCAGCCTGGACCTTTTTTGATCCATGGTGGACACGTTGCTAAATAGTCCCAAAAATCCAACCTGGAACTCCTTTCCTAAATATTCCCTAAAATCCAGCCTGGACCTTTTTTGATCCAGAATGGACACATAGCTGAATATTCCCAAAAATCCAACCTGGACATTGCTAAATATTCCCAATATTTTGGGTTGCTAAAATCCAACCTGGACCTTCTTTGCTAAATATTCCCCAAAATCCAACCTGGAACTCCTTTCCTAAATATTCCCAAAAATCCAGCCTGGACCTTTTTTGATCCATGGTGGACATGTTGCTAAATATTCCCTAAAATCCAACCTGGACATTGCTAAATATTCCCAATATTTTGGGTTGCTAAAATACAACCTGGAACTCCTTTGCTAAATATTCCCAAAAATCCAGCCTGGAACTCCTTTGCTAAATATTCCCTAAAATCCAACCTGGGCCTTCTTTTCTAAATATTCCCAAAAATCCAGCCTGGACCTTTTTTGATCCAGGATGGACACGTTGCTAAATATTCCCAAAAATCCAACCTGGACATTGCTAAATATTCCCAAAAATCCAGCCTGGACCTTCTTTGCTAAATATTCCCCAAAATCCAGCCTGGAACTCCTTTGCTAAATATTCCCAAAAATCCAGCCTGGAATTCCTTTCCTAAATATTCCCCAAAATCCAGCCTGGACCTTTTTTGATCCAGGATGGACACGTTGCTAAATATTCTAAAAAATCCAAGCTGGAATTCCTTTCCTAAATATTCCCAAAAATCCAGCCTGGACCTTTTTTGATCCAGGATGGACACATAGCTGAATATTCCCAAAAATCCAACCTGGAACTCCTTTCCTAAATATTCCCTAAAATCCAGCCTGGACCTTTTTTGATCCAGGATGGACACGTTGCTAAATATTCCCTAAAATCCAACCTGGACATTGCTAAATATTCCCAATATTTTGGGTTGCTAAAATACAACCTGGATCATCTTTGCTAAATATTCCCTAAAATCCAACCTGGAACTCCTTTGCTAAATATTCCCTAAAATCCAGCCTGGACATTTTTTGATCCAGGATGGACACGTTGCTAAATATTCCCAAAAATCCAACCTGGAATTCCTTTCCTAAATATTCCCTAAAGTCCAGCCTGGACCTTTTTTGATCCATGGTGGACACGTTGCTAAATATTCCCAAAAATCCAACCTGGGCATTGCTAAATATTCCCAATATTTTGGGTTGCTAAAATCCAACCTGGACCTTCTTTGCTAAATATTCCCCAAAATCCAGCCTGGAACTCCTTTGCTAAATATTCCCAAAAATCCAGCCTGGACCTTTTTTGATCCAGGATGGACACGTTGCTAAATATTCCCAAAAATCCAACCTGGAACTCCTTTCCTAAATATTCCCTAAAATCTAGCCTGGACCTTTTTTGATCCAGAATGGACACATAGCTGAATATTCCCAAAAATCCAACCTGGAATTCCTTTCCTAAATATTCCCAAAAATCCAGCCTGCACCTTTTTTGATCCATGGTGGACATGTTGCTAAATATTCCCAAAAATCCAACCTGGAACTCCTTTCCTAAATATTCCCAAAAATCCAACCTGGAACTCCTTTCCTAAATATTCCCCAAAACCAGCCTGGACCTTTTTTGATCCAGGATGGACACGTTGCTAAATATTCCCAAAAATCCAACCTGGACATTGCTAAATATTCCCAAAAATCCAGCCTGGACCTTCTTTGCTAAATATTCCCTAAAAATCCAGCCTGGAACTCCTTTGCTAAATATTCCCTAAAATGCAACCTGGGCTTCTTTTCTAAATATTCCCAAAAATCCACTCTGGACCTTCTTTGCTAAATATTCCCTAAAAATCCAGCCTGGATCTCCCTCATTCCAGGAAGGACACGATGCTAAATATTCCCAAAAATCCTGCCTGGACATTGCTAAATATGAAATAAATAAATATTTAAATGTAATGTTTAAATGGATAAATATTCCCTAAAATCCAGCCTGGACCTCCCTTGACCCGAATTTGCAGCGTTCCTGGAGTTTTCCTGTCCTTTTCCAGGGCTCGGAGCGGGATGTGGTGGCCAGTGTGGCGCAGGAATTTGGGAAGCTGGAATCCTTCATCGGCCAGGTCCTGGATGAGGCCGTCTTCACCAAGGAGCTCTGGAAATCCCTGGGCTACAAATTCACCGTGAGTCCCGAGGGAATGGAACAGGGATCGGGAATTCCGTGTGCGCTGCAGGTTTGATAAGGATGAGGAGTTTGGTATGGATCGGGAATTTGATAAGGATGAGGAGTTTGGTATGGATCGGGAATTTGATAAGGATGAGGAATTTGGTATGGATCGGGAATTTGATAAGGATGAGGAGTTTGGTATGGATCGGGAATTTGATAAGGATGAGGAGTTTGGTATGGATCGGGAATTTGATAAGGATGAGGAGTTTGGTATGGATCGGGAATTTGATAAGGATGAGGAGTTTGGTATGGATTGGGAATTTGAAGTGGTCTGGGAATTTGATATGGATGAGGAATTAGATATGGATCGGGAATTGGATATGGATCAGGAATTGGATATGGATCAGGAATTTGATAAGGATGAGGAATTTGGTATGGATTGTGAATTAGATATGGATCGGGAATTAGATATGGATTGGGAATTTGATAAGGATCAGAAATTTGATAAGGATGAGGAATTTGGTATGGATCAGGAATTTGATAAGGATCAGGAATTTGATAAGGATGAGGAATTAGATATGTATTGGGAATTTAGTATAGATCAGGAATTGGAAGTGGATGGGGAATTTGATAAGGATGAGGAATTGGAAGTGGATGGGGAATTTGATAAGGATGAGGAATTTGATATGGATTGGGAATTTGGTACGAGTCAGGAATTAGATATGGATCAGGAATTTCAGGTGGATTGGGAATTCAGTATGGGTCGGGAATTTGATAAGGATGAGGAATTCGATATAAATCAGGAATTTGATAAGGATGAAGAATTCAAAGTGGACTGGGAATTTAATACGGATCAGCAATTTTAATATGGATCTCAAATTTCATAAGGATGAGGAATTTGATATGGATTGGGAATTTGCGGTTGGAATTCAATAGAGCAGAGCTGGCTGGAAGAGCTGGAGGAGCTCCCTGGGGGTTCCAAAGCCGAGTTTGTGTCCCAGGTGTGTCAGTGTCACTGGAGCCCTGAGCCAGAGGGAATTTGGTGTGAATTGGGAATTTGATGTGGATCAGGAGTTTGATTTTGACTGGGAATTCGATATGGATGTGACGTGGATTAGATGTGGATCGAGGAGCTGAGGATTGAAGTTGGCAGCAGAGCTGGGTGGGAGAGCTGGAGAAACTCCCTGGGGGTTTTAACGCTGAGTTTTGTGTCCTGTGGTGTCACTGGAACCCTGAGTCAGAGGGAATTTGATATGGATCGGGAATTTGATAGGGATCGGGAATTTGATATGGATCGGGAATTTGATATGGATCGGGAGTTTGATTTTGATATGGATCAGGAGTTTGATTTTGAGAATTTGGTATGGATTAAGGATCTGAGGATTGAAGTTGACGTAGCAGAGCTGGGTGGAAGAATTGGAGAAACTCCCTGGGGACTTTAGTGTTGAGTTTTGTGTCCAGTGGTGCCACTGAAACCCTGAGTCAGAGGGAATTTAATGTGGATCAGGAATTTCATATGGATCAGGAATTTCATATGGATCAGGAATCTGAGGCTGGAATTCAACAGGGCAGAGCTGGGTGGAGGAGCTGGAGGAGCTCCCCGGGGTTTCAAAGCCGAGTTTGTGCCCCAAGGGTGTCACTGTCACTGGAGCCCCGAGCCAGCTGATCCCTGCAGGAGCTCCTGCCTGGAATTCCATGCCCTCTCCCAATCCTGTTTTTTTCCTGCTGCTCCAGGACGTGCTGTGTGTCCCTGAGAGGCGGCTCCTGGAGGACAGCAGGAACCTTCCCATGGCGCCCGGCGCCGCCCGCTCCGAGCGGCTCCTGCTCTTCGATGACGTCCTGGTGCTCATCCAGGTGAGCCTGGGATCCTCCCGGGAAGAGAGCACGGATAAACGGACCTGAAATTCCAGCAGAATGGCAGAAATGACAGGAATTCCCATGGGAATGGTGGTAAAATTCCAGGTTTTTGGTGTTGAACGCACAGCGGAGTTTGGCTGTTGGGAAAAGTTGGGAACACTTTGTTTCAGAGCCATCCGTGTGTGGTTGGCTCTGGAAAATAAAGGAAATCTGGGAAGGAGTAAAGGACATCCGGAGAACATTTTCCCAGGAAATGTGGATTGTCCACCATCACAGGCACCTTTTGAGTTGTCCACACCCTTTTCCACAGGGAATTTTGGCCCTTGGTTATCCCAAGGGATTTGATGGATCAAGGATAGACATTCCATGAGCTCCCACGCATTGGGATAAACAGGATTTTCCATGTTTGTGCCATGGCTGCAGACATTGGAGGTGGTTTTGGGGCTATTTTAGGAATTTTGGGGTGTGGAGATGCGTTCCCATGAGGGAATTCCAGCTTGGATCGTGCCAGTGGCTGGGGTGGGAACATGGGATCAGCAAATCCATGGAATCATCTCCATGTTCAATCCATGATTTCCATCTGTGTCTCACCTGCTGCTGCCGAGCTTTATGGAGGTTTGGGAATTCCAACTGAGTTGGGATTGACCTGGTTGGGAATTTTGATGTCCCTTCCTTTTCTGGTCTCCCATATCTGGGAAAACACTGTGGAATTCCTTGGAGAACTCCATCCCTCCAGGCAGCAACTCTGTGTGAACACCCGGATGTGAGGCAGGGAGAGGAGATGAGAAATTAAAATTTTCCTCTTATTCCAATCGTTGGAGTTTGTTTTGTTTGGGTGCTGCTGATCCCAAAAGTGGCTCCTTAAATTTGGGATTTCTGGGATACTTTTGGTGGTGCCACGTGGAGTCCAAATCCGAAATAAATCCCAGAATGGCTTGGATGGAAAGGGAGCTCAAAGATGATCCATTCCCACTCCATTCCATGGTTCCAGGCTGCTTCAAGCCTTGTCCAGCCTTTCCTTGGATACTTCCAGGGATGAGCAACCAAAAATCTCTGGGAATATTGGCTGGAATGATTTGGGAATGTTGCCATGTGATAGGGAAGGAATTCCTGTGGAGATCAGGGTCATGTGGGAGTGTTTTACTCCTGGATGTGGCCATGGAATTTTGGAAGAGCTTTAGGAGTGTTCAGCTGGGAACTTCCCTCCTTTTCCGGTGGCTTTTCCATGTCCAAGGTCTCTCCTCCCGATGTTGGGTGGATGGACCAAAAAGTTGGGAATTTGTGCTGCCATTCCAGCTCTGCCATTCCATGGATGTTTCCAGCAATAACAGGACCATCTTTTCCCATTTTTTTTCCCAGGGAAACAGCTTCCAAAGTTTTGATCTGAAGCTGGTGTGGGTGGATGAAAACTGCGGAGAGAAATCGGCTCCAGGACTGTGAGTGAGAGATTCCCACTGGGAGTTGACAAAAAGGAATAAAAGGAATAAAAGGAATAAAAATGTTCAGGTTGATGGGAAAATGATCCAAAGCTTTGTCCCAAGTCCTTTCTGAGCCATGGGGTTGGGATATGGATAATGGGATCTCACCAGCTTGGAATTTGCTACCTGATTGAAATCCCAGGATTTCTGAGGTTGGAAAAGCTCTCCAGGATCATCTAATCCAACCTGTGTCCCATCCCCACCTTGTTCCCAGCCCAGAATTCCTTGGACAGCTCCAGGGATGGGCCCTCCAAACCTCCCTGGGCAATTCCAATGCCTGGCCATGTTTTCCATTAAAAAATTCGTGCTGGTGTCCAATCTGACCCTCCCCTGGCACAACCTGAGGCTGTTCCCTCTCATCCTCTTCACTGCCAATGAATCCCAAAATTCTTAAATCCAGCCCTGGAGAACTTGAGATCTCTCCGGAAGAACCACCTGGGAAAGCACCAGGATCTCCAGGAGGGGAATGGGAAGAGCTGATGGATTGGGAATTGTGTTTTCCATCCTCTTTTTTCCCTCCCAGGCACAGCCTACGCATCACAACCCCGGAAGAGACGTTCATCCTCTCCACCAAGGACCCTCAGATGAAGGTCAGGCTTTGGGGTATTCCCATCTTTTTATTATTTAAAACTGGATAATGATTCTGGTGAGGGTGGGATGGGATTTTTGGCTCCCTTTTCCAACAGAATCCTGGATTAGATGCCAGAGGTGGCTCAGGGTTGATGGCTGGTGAGGAATGTTGGTGGGAACCCATCGGTTTCTTACTGCGTTTCCTGAAGGATGGGCCTATCCCATAGGCAAATCAACTTGAAATTTGTATTTCTTTTTTTTCTTTTTTTCATATCCAAGTGGAATTTTTCCCTCTTTTTTTAACATCCAAGTGGAGATTCCTCCCTCACAGCTGTTGTGCCTTGCTGCAGTATCCACCTTCCAGGAGGAGAACCCCTGTGGAAGCTGCAGATGGGCTTTGACGGGAACCCGCAAGCTCCCCGCTGCTTTCCCGGGGCTGTCTCCGGTTGGTTTTCCAGGGGTTTGTGCTCATTCCCCGCTCCCCGTGCCCGCAGGCCGTGTGGAGGTGGAAGCTGGAGCAGGCCGTGCGCCAGGCGCTGAACGGGAAGCGGGATTTCCCTCTCTGGGGCCGCAGCGGGGAGGGCAGCGAGGCCCCGTCCCGCCGCTTCTTCACCTACGTCTTCCGCATGGAGGGACGGCTCCGCGGGGCCACCTACGAGGGAGAGTGGCTCTGGGGGAAGCCCCACGGCAAGTAAGGAACCTCCTGGGCTCCTTCTCCAGGTCGGGGAAGAGGGTTGGGAAGCGCTGGTTTGGAGTTTCTGTGAAGGCTGGGAGAGATCTCCAGGTCACTCATGAGGGGGCTGCTCCTTTTTGGGCAGACTCTGGGGGGCCACCTATGAGGGCAAGTGGCTCTGGGAAGGAACCTCATAGGCCTCTTTTCCAAGTGAATAAGGTTGGAAGCACCTTTAGGGCCCCTTTTCCAAGTGGGAATAAGGATGGAAGTGCTGGCTTAGAGATTTCTGTGAAGGTTGGGAAAGATCTCCAGGTCACTCATGAAGGGGCTGCTCCTTTTCTGGGCAGGCTCAGGGGGGCCACCTATGGAGGGTGAGTGGCTCTGGCAAGGAACCTTTTGGGCTTCTTTTCCAAGCGGGAATAAGGTTGGAAGTGCTGGTTTGGAGTTTCTGTGAAGGTTGGGAAAGATCTCCAAGGTCAGCCCAAACCTCTCCAGGTCACTCAAACAGATCATGAAGGGGCTGCTCCTTTTATGGATGGGCTCAGGGGAGCCTCGTACGAGGGCAAGTGGCTCTGGGAGAAGCCCCATGGCAAGTAAGGAACATTTTGGGCCTCTTTTCCAAGTGGGAATAACGTTGGAAGTGCTGGTTTGGCATTTCCGTGAAGGTTGGGAATGATCTCCAAGGTCAGCCCAAACCTCTCCAGGTCACTCAAACAGATCATGAAGGGGCTGCTCCTTTTCTGGGCAGGTTCAGAGTGGCCACACCTGTGAGGGCGATTGGCTCTTGGGGAAGCTCCATGGCAAGTAAGGAACCTTTTGGGCACCTTTTCCAAGCGGGAATTAGGTTGGAAGTGCTGGTTTGGAGTTTTTGTGAAAGTTGGGAAAGATCTCCAAGGTCAGCCCAAACCTCTCCAGGTCACTCAAACAGATCATGAAGGGGCTGCTCCTTTTCTGGGCGGGCTCAGAGTGGCCACACCTGTGAGGGCGAGTGGCTCTTGGGGAAGCTCCATGGCAAGTAAGGAACCTTTTGGGCACCTTTTCCAAGTGGGAATAAGGTTGGAAGTGCTGGTTTGGCATTTCCCTGAAGGCTGGGAATGATGTCCAAGGTCACTCAACCACCTCAGCACGGGTCTGCTCCTTTTTTGGGCACTTCCAGGGTGGGAATAAGGTCAAAATTTGATCCTTAATGATGTTGTGGATGTGAATCCAGGCCCGGCTCTCTGATTCCTGCCTCACTCATTCCCAGAGGGAATTCTGGCCTGGAGAGCAGGTTTAGCAAAGCCTGAGTTCTAAAACTCGGGATTTTTTGTGGGCGTCTCATTGGTGGTTTATGGATTAAATCCTAAAGGCTGCCCCAGAAACGTGGTGTTGGTCACCCTGAAGCTACACGAGCTGGTGCCTCTACTTAGGATTTAGGCTTGGCCTAAAATCGAGGTCTCAGCCTGGGATATGAAAATCTCACCCTCGTGATGAGGAAAGTCCCCAATAAAAACCCTTTGGGGAGAATTTTATTTATATATTTTATTTATATTTGTTTTATTTTATTCTCCACCAGCAAAATCTCTTTGAACTTTATCCAAACTTGAAACATCCAAACTTTTATCCCAGGAATTAAGAAAAACTTAAATCCAAAAGGAGCTCAGGTGGGAATATTGGGAACTGTTCAGTAAATCCAAGTTTAAGCGAGGGGATGTCTGTAAATCAAAGGTTCCCGACCAAAATTTCTTGGACATAGGATAGAGAACACTCTGGTTATTTTGGGGAAGAAACCTGGAATGTGACCAAGCTCCTCAGCCACCAAAAACATTGGGAAATTTTATTTCCCATGAGTTTTACACAGTTTGCTCTGGAAGCAAAAAGGATGGAGAGAGACTCACTTTGAGAGAGCCTTAAAACGATGAAAGAATCCAGAATATAAATGGCTTGGACGGGATTTGGATCCAGTTCCAGCCCCAAGTCCAAAACTGAATCCTGAATATTTCATGGAAGAGATTGTGCCGTGCCCTGGAACAGCATCAAAGGAGAGTTTAGGGCAGGAGAGCTTTGGGTCATCCCCACCTTCCCTCCCTCAAAACCATCTCCAGGATTTTGTCCTCTCCTGCCTCAGGGCTGGAAAACTGGAATTAATCCAAACCTCTCCTGCCCCATGGAGTGACTCGGGTGAGGCATCCCAGGAAATTTCTGGCAGAATTCAGGAACTTCAGGCGTTCGATTCCTTGGATTTGAGTTCCCTTCCCACTCCTGGAATTCCTCTGCTGTGATTTTACTGCTGGAAGGTTCCAGAGCAGCATCCTGGCCTTGGTGGCCGCTCTGGGGTTTCCGAGGGAGGAGCACGGGAGCGGAGCTGTGGGAGTGGGAATTTGGGCTCTTTGGCAAAAACAAAAACACCAGTGCTCTCCACTGGCTGTCCTGGAATTCCAGAGTCCTCCAGTGCCTGTCCTGGAATTTCAGGTGACCTGGGCTGGGAGAAGGCCAGACTCCCACTCAGATGTGGCTTGAACATCCTTGTGCCCGGAGCAGACAGGAAATTAGGGAATATCCTGAGTGGGAAGGGCTCACAGGGATCAAGCCCCGTACAGATCCCAACAACCCCACCCTGTCCAAACTCCTGGAGCAGCCTTGGGAATGTGCCCATTCCTTGGGGAATGTTCAGTGCCCGACACCCTCGGGGGGAAGAACTTTTCCCTAAAATCCAACCTCAACCTGGCCCAGCTCCAGCTGTTCCCTCACCCCCTTTGGCTGCTCCCCTTTCCCCATTCAGACCCACAAAGCCAAAGGAGATTTCAATTTAAATTAAAATTAAAATATTGAAATTGCCAACACATCCAACCAATCCTCTGGAAAACTTGGAAAAGAGCCACTCTCGTGGAGGTGTTTGAAACAACAACCTGGGTGAAAGTCAAACAACCCCCTCACGGTTTTGGTGTTGCGCCATCCCCTGGCAAACCGACCCAGAGGAGGTTTGGATTAAATGTTGGGAAAGAATTCCTGGCTGGGAGGGTGGGGAGGGGCTGGGATGGAATTCCCAGAGCAGCTGTGGCTGCCCCTGGATCCCTGGAATGTCCAAGGCCCGGCTGGAGCACCCTGGGACAGTGGGAAATGTCTCTGGCATGGGGTTGGAACTGGATGTTCTTTAGGATCCCATCCGACCCCAAAAATTCCAGGTTTCCATGATTTTGAATTGTTCCAGTTGGGATTTTGAGGTAAAACAGATGAGCTTGGCATCAGTGTGGAGGGAAAATATTCCAACATTCCTGAGGGATTCCAAAGCCTTGGCCCCCAGCTCCAGAAAGAGCTCAGAATTCCTCAAATCCCTGATATTTCCTCAACCTAATTCCCAGTTTTAATTCCAAGCTCAAGATCCATTTAAGCTCTCAATTTGGGAAGGAATTTCTGGCTGGGATGGGATTCCCAGAGCAGCCGTGGCTGCCCCTGGATCCCTGGCAGTGCCCAAGGCCGGGTTGGACACTTGGATCACCCTGGGACAGTGGGAGCTGTCCCTGCCCATGGGATGAGATGATCTTGAAGGTCCTTCCAAGCCAAAGCATTCCAGGATTTTGTAATTCCATTGTGTCCGGCTGGGGAATGTGCAGGGATGCGATTCTCTGGGATGAGGCCGGAATTAAAGCTCTCAGTGGGTGTGGGTGGAGCGGGATTCCGGGAGGGAGGGAAATCGCTCCGGAGCCGGGCGCGGCCGGGCAGGAATTTCCCTGGCATTGCCCATTCCCGGCTCTCCCTGCTGTGGGATCTCCTCCTGGAATCACTTTCCAGCCCCCACAAAACATGGGATGATCGATCCCTTGGGAATGGTTTCCCTCTGTGTTTTCCCGGTGGCTGAGCCGCTGGAATTCCAGGCTGTGGTGTCACCGTGTCCACGGGGATGGGCCAGGCAGGAGCTCCCGTTGGATCAATCCCTGTAATTAATTCAGGATCAGGTGCAAGGTCCTAAAGGCACGAGGCAGCACCTCCAGAAAATACTTTTGGGATTAGGGAATGGAATGGATTCTTCCCACTCAGCCCAGAGCAGGAAAACATTATGGGATTAAATCCTCCTGCTGGAAACCAAGGCCTGGGGGTGCCTTTTGTGTCTCTGCCCTCCGAGGAACATTTTGGATATTCGGCATAAATTCTGGGAATGGTTTGGGTCGGAAAGAACTTTGGGAAAGATCCAATTCCACTCCCCTACCACGGGCACCTTCCACAGGACTCCAAGCTCCATCTAAGCCGGCCTAAATATTTAGGCTGGGCTTTAGCAGGTGCTGTTCCATCTGGGAATGTTGTGATGTCCCTTGTGAGAGAATTCCTTGGGTTCCAGGGGGACGCTGAAGTGGAGCGATGGACGCAACTACGTCGGGGATTTCCAGGAGGGCCTGGAGCACGGGTAAGCCTTGGAAAACGGGATATTCCCTGTTTTGAAAAGAAACTGGGAATGGTTCCTGCCAGAGGTTGGAGCCTGAAGGGAGGGGACTGACACTGACTGATCCCGGGGCTGGAATTTGATCCCGGATTCCAAAATCTGTGGGATTTTTTTTCCTAGGGAGTGTCTTAAAGTTATTTTTAGGTCTCTTTAAAACCTTAAATGAGTTTTTCCTCATGATTTAAGAAACCAATCCATGAAATTCAAGTATTATTTATCTCAATTTTATTGGAAATAGGACTTTAGGATTCCTCATTTTTCCAAGGGAGAAAAAATATATCCTGAGCGCTTTGTGTTGGGAATCCCAGGACATTTAACTCAGCCCCTAAAATGGGAAAGGGGGAAAGAGGGGGAAAACAGCACTGAAAGAAACTCTGGAGAAGGAACGATCAGGATCTGGGAATGCAGCTCCCAAAGGGATGAGCTTTCCTTTGGCCCAGTGGCACCTGGGAGAAGTGTCCCAGGTAGGGCTGCTCCAAGCACATAAACATTGGGAATTTGGACAATCCTTGGTTTTTTGAACTTCATCCGCTACAATGGAGTTGCTGCTTTCAGTGCAGACACTTCCATCCAGCTGGAACCTGATCCCAAATCCCAAAATCCATGGGAATTCATTCCTAGGAAGTGTCTCAAAGTTATTTTTAGATCCTTTAACAAATCTCACTTAAATGAGGAGTTTTACAGGAGAAACCCAATCCCATGGAATTCAAATTGGTTTTTAAACTTCATCCACTGCAATGGAATTGCCATTTTTCCACGCTGACTATTTTTTCCACGTTGACTTTTTTTTCCACGTTGACTTTTTGTTCCATGTTGATTTTTTTTCTTTTTCCCATGCTGACCTTTCCGCTGTGCCCCCGGCAGGTTTGGGATCTGCCTGGTGCCGCGGCGCTCCGAGGATCGCTATGACTGCTACAAGTGCCACTGGCACCAGGGCAAGATGAGGGGCTACGGAATCTGTGAGTAAGTAAAATCCAGGACGGGTTCCAGGGGTTTGGAGTGGGAAATGTCCCCTGAAATCTTTGCGGCCTGGTCTGGAAACGCTCTGTGGGCGTTTAGAATTCCAGAATTGTTTGGGAGCTTAAGGATGACGCCATTCCATGGGCAGGGACACCTCCCGCTGTCCCAGGGTGCTCCAGCCTTTCCTTGGGCATTCCAGGGATCCAGGGGCAGTCACAGCTGCTCTGGGAATCCCATCCCAGCCCCTCCCCACCCTCCCAGCCAGGAATTCCCAATTCCCAATCTCCCATCCATCCCTGCCCTCTGGCACTGGGAGCCATTCCCTGGCTCCTGTCCCTCCATCCCTTGTCCCCAGTCCCTCTCCAGCTCTCCTGGAGCCCCTCCAGGCCCTGCCAGGGGCTCTGAGCTTTCCCTGGAATTTTCTCCTCCGAAGTCACCCCAAATGCTTTGGCTGCTGGGAACACTGGGCTGCCCCTGGTTCCTGCTCATCCCTATCCCTGATTTCTCATGCCAAGTAGGACAGACCCAACATTCCAGCTGGGACAGGCCTGTCCTCCAGCCTGGATGTTCTGCTCCTTCGTTTCTCTCGGAGCTGCTCTTCCCAGAGGGACCAGTCCAGGGAAGGGCTGGTGGCCACCACAAAGAGCTGGATCCAGGCTTGGCCTCCTTCCTATGGATCCGATTTTCCAGCCTGGATTCACCAGAGCTTCCTGTGCCCAGGCTGGTGAGAGGTCAAGGCCTGAGTGGCCTCTCCCAGGACAGCTCCAAGCCCATGTGTTGAGTCCTTGGATAATTTGGGAAGCTCTGGAATGTCTGGTTTGGGGGGATGCAGATTCCTGACAGCAAACAAGGATCCAAATTCAGCGCTGTCAGAAAAATCTTTGGAATATTTCGAGATGGACGAGCCGGGTCTCCTTGCTTCCCTGGTTTTCTACTCCAGGAGTAGCTGTCAGATATTCCCAGTCTGGAATTCCATCCCTCTTCCTGCAGGTATGGGAATGACCTGGTCTACAAGGGCTACTTCAAGGACAACGTGCGCCAAGGCTTTGGGATCCTGGAGAACTTCTCGGCTGAGCATCCCTTCAAATACACGGGACAGTGGGAAAACGACAAAAAGAACGGATACGGAGTCTGGGAGGACAAGGAGAGGTAAAGGTGGGATGGATCTCAGGTGTGGGACTGCTGAACTTTGCAGGCAGCCCCGACAAGGGAAGAGACGAGAATGTCGACTCCCCGTGTTTCAGAAGGCTGATTTATTATTTTATGATCTATATATATTATATTAAAAGAAAATGATATATTAAAAGAAAATGATGTATTAAAACTACACTAAAAGAATAGGAGAAAGGGTAGCAAGGAATAGAAAGGAATGGCAATAAAATCCTGTGACTGCTCGCAGCCTCGGCACAGGTGGGGCTGTCTGTGGGAAATGCAGCACACAGTATGAGTGATCAGCAAGCCTCAAACTTTATTGATGGTTCACACATATTTATATTGGTGTTAATGAAGCTCATACATATTGCAAAGCTGAGCTCATTATTGGTTAATTACTTATCAGCCAACCACGCCCGCTTCTATATTCTTATGGTTATTTTGTTACTGCTTCTACATTCTTGTGGTTATTCTGCTGAAACTATCATATTCCTGGCAAGAGATCCTCTCCTCTCTCCTGTTGCTGCACCAAGGGCACAATGTCCTTGTCAGTGCTTGGACTCTGACTGCTGAATCCCAGATTTGCCTCCTTGTTCCTTATCCAGCGGTATCACGTCTGTGTGCCCTTTCTCAGCCAGCTGCCCACAAGGCTCTCCACACTTCCCCCGTTTTTCTGTTGGACAAGCATGGTCTGGTTAAACGCAGCAGATGTCATCCTTTGCACCGTGTTCTGTAGGCATGCGCAAAAACCACGGCAAAATTAATACTCCCAACAGAGCCATAATGCCCGCTATAATGCTGGCCTTAACAAGTGTGGAGAGCTTTGTTTTGCCAAAAATACGAGGATAGTTTCAGCAGAATAACCCCAGCTGTCGTTGGTCGTCAGGTAAAAACAGTTTCACGTGCTGGGTAAAGGATTCTCCAAGTCACATTCCAAAACATGGAGAAGCTGAAGCTTCCCAGCTTCTCAGGAGAAAAGATCCTGGCGAAAGGATTTTTCATTGAATGTGTCCGTGACATGAGACAGCTTTGGGTTTGGTGGGATAAACCCTGGAGATTTGGGATGGATGGGGAGGGGGGTGGAGGGCTTGAATTCCTTGGAAAACATTCCCGGAGCTCGGTTTGTGTGGGACATCCAGCCTGGAGCGATGTGTAGGAAAAATCACCCTGGGCAGGACAAAGCCGATGGATTGAGAGCTGGGAAAACGGGGAAAAATCCGTGACCTGGGATTTGCTTGCATTGCAGAGGGGAGAGGTACATCGGGATGTGGTTGGATGACCACAGACATGGAGAAGGCATCGTGGTGACCCAGTCAGGGCTCTGCTACCAGAGGACGTTCCATGCGGACAAAATGGTGGTGAGTCCGAGATTCCCGTGGAATCTGGGAATCCCTGGGATGGGGAATCCACCGCCAAGGCGGGACTGAGGTTTCATCCCCGAATTCATCCCGGAGGACACGGAGGGTTGGAGATCAGGGAAAGGTTCTGCTCCCAGTGGGTGCTCAGGATGGACATTCCCAAGGGAATGGGCACATTCCAAAGGCTGCCAGAGCTCCAGGAATGTTTGGAAAACTCTTCAGGAAAGGATGGGATTGTTGGGATCTCTGTGCAGGGCAGGGGTTGGGTTTGGATCCTTGTGGGCCCTTCAGGATTTTCCATGATTTTCATGGTTTGGAAGAGCAAGGTCTTGGTTAAGTCTTGTTTCATTCTCCCCTTCCAGAGGGATTTTTGGGATATTGGGGAGGAATTCCTGGATTGGAGGGGTTGGGATGGAATTCCCAGAGATTTGTGGCAGCCCCTGGGTCCCTGGAAGTGTCCAAGGACAGGTTGGAGCACCCTGGGATAGTGGGAGATCCCTGCCCACGGATCCTGAAAGTCCCTTCTAACCCGAGCCATTCCAAGAATTCCATAACATTCCATATTTCCTGGGAATCATGAAACCCTTACTTTTCCAGTGGCAATTCACCTGTCCAGTCCATGGGACGTTGGGAATTTGGTGGGAAAGCAAAGGGAATTGGTACTGGAATAAAAACATCCTTAAGAAAAACCAACCCTAAAAAAATCCCAATGACCCCATTCCCACTTCCCGAATCAGGGAAAAATGGTTTTTATTGGGTTTTATGGACATTTTTGATTGAGGTTTTGGGATTTTTTTTTTCCTTTTTGGGAGGTTTTTATTGGGTCTTATGCAACATTTTAATGGAGTTTTTGGGATTTTTTTTCTCCTTTTTTTTGGGGTTATTTATTGGGCTTTATGGGACATTTTTGGTTGAGTTTTTTTTGGGGTGTTTTCATTCCAGAGGAAAATATTCCAGCTCTGGAAGTGATCCCAGTTGGTTTGGGGATGAAGAAACCTTTGGGTTTAAACTATGGAATAAATCCCAGTGGGCAGAAAATTCCCTATGGACAGGAATTATTCCCTGGAATAATTTCCCATGGAACGGGCCTATTCCCAACACTGCCAAAGCTCTGGGATTTTCCAGGGATTCTTGGGATGCCTCCTGTGCCAGGACTTGGATTTTGATCCTTCTGGATCCCTTTCCCACAGGGAATTCCACACAGTTGCCGTTTTCTTGGAATCATTTCCCAAAGAATTCCCTAAAATATCCCAGGATTGGGAGCACCACGAGTTTGACTCTGTGGCAATCCTTGGTGGCTTTTCCTGGTTTTTTGTTCCTTTTCCATGGAAGATCCATGGAATAATTTTATTGTTCCGAGTTTCCTGACCTCCTTCTCTGTGGGTTTTCCCTGGAGCTTCCCCCAAACATTGAAAGATGATGTTTGGCTTTAAAAAAAAATAAAAATCTTGGAATCTGCATCCCATCAATTTTTCTGGGATCAATTGGACCGGGTGGGAAGTTAATTCCATGAATTCCTGACCTTTCCTTTCATCCCAAGGGCTCAGGAATTTTGCTCCTGGAAGACGACTCCGTCTACGAAGGGAACTTCACGGAGGAGCTGACATTTGTTGGAAAGGTTGGAATTTCCTCCCTCTTCTCCGGGAATTTTCCATGGATTCATCTCCCAACTTTATTCCTTCCTGCTCCGCTTCCCCCAGCTTCCTATAAAACCCCCATTTTCCAAATTTCTGGAATGTTTAGCACAGAAGGAAAGCTGCAGCTGGAGATTTTGGGAATTTTGAGAAGAATTTGGCATTTTCATGTTTTGTTTGCTTCAGGTTTGGGAGGTTTGGGTTTTTTGGGTTGAGTTTTTGGGGTTTATTTTCTTGGGTTTTTCAGGACACTTCGGCTTGAGGCTTTGGGATATTTTTTACTCTTTTTTTTATTTTTTTAATTGGATTTATGGGACACATTTATTTGAGTTTTCTGGGTTTTTTTGTTGGATTTTTTTTGGGTTTTGTGGGACATTTTTGGTTGAGTTTATGGGATTTTTTGAAGGGGTTTTATGGGACATTTTTGGTTGAGGTTTTGGGATTTTTTCTCTTTTTTTTTAGGTTTTTAAATTGGGTTTTAAAAGGACATTTTTGATTGAGTTATTGGGTTTTTTGGTTGGGTTTTCATTGGGTTTTATGGGACATTTTTGGTTGAGTTTTTGTTTTTTGTGGGTTTTTTTTTTCCTTGCGTTTTATTAGGGTGTTACGAGACACATTTGGTTGAGTTTCTGGGATTTTTTTTTCTTTTTTTGGGGGGTTTTGTTGGGTTTTATGGAATATTTTTGATTGAGTTATTGGAGTTTTTTTAATGGGTTTTGATTGGGTTTTAAGGGACATTTTTAGTTGAGTTTTTGGGATTTTTTGGGGGGGGGTTTGGGGGGTTTTTAGTTGGGTTTTATGGGACATTTTTGGTTGACGTTTTGGGGTTTTTTCTCTCTTTTTTTAGGTTTTTAAATTGGGTTTTAAAAGGACATTTTTGATTGAGTTATTGGGGTTTTTTGGTTGGGTTTTCATTGGGTTTTATGGGACATTTTTGGTTGAGTTTTTGTTTTTTGTGGGTTTTTTTTTTCCCTTGGGTTTTGTTAGGGTGTTACGAGACACATTTGGTTGAGTTTCTGGGATTTTTTTTTTTCTTTTTTTGGGGGGTTTTGTTGGGTTTTATGGAATATTTTTGATTGAGTTATTGGAGTTTCTTTATTGGGTTTTGATTGGGTTTTAAGGGACATTTTTAGTTGAGTTTTTGGGATTTTTTGGGGGGGGTTTGGGGGTTTTTAGTTGGGTTTTATGGGACATTTTTGGTTGACGTTTTGGGGTTTTTTCTCTCTTTTTTTAGGTTTTTAAATTGGGTTTTAAAAGGACATTTTTGATTGAGTTATTGGGGTTTTTTGGTTGGGTTTTCATTGGGTTTTATGGGACATCTTTGGTTGAGTTTTTTTTTTTGTTGTTGTGTTTTTTTTGTTGTTTTTTTTTTCCCTTGGGTTTTATTAGGGTGTTACGAGACACATTTGGTTGAGTTTCTGGGATTTTTTTTTTTCTTTTTTTGGGGGGTTTTGTTGGGTTTTATGGAATATTTTTGATTGAGTTATTGGAGTTTCTTTATTGGGTTTTGATTGGGTTTTAAGGGACATTTTTAGTTGAGTTTTTGGGATTTTTGGGGGGGGTTTGGGGGGTTTTTAGTTGGGTTTATGGGACATTTTTGGTTGAGTTTTTAGTTTGTGGGTTTTTTTTTTTTGAGTGTTTTTATCAGGTTTTTTTTTGGGATTTTTGCTGGTTTTTTTGCAGCTTTGCAGCTGCACCTGAGATCCCTTTTTTATTTTTAAAACAAAACCATTCCAGGCTTTGGGGCCACAGGAAATGATGCAGAACCCGGAGCTGCCGTGACCGAGGCAGCGGAAATTTGGGATTTCGCAATCCGGGCCCTGCCCTGGCACGTCCCAGCTTTTGTGCTTGGATTCCAACAGAAATTCCTGTTCCAAAGGGTTGAGAAAATCCCCAGGGCAGGGAAAACGAGTTTTCCAGAAATCTGGGATGAGCCTGGCAGGAATTCTGGGAGATGGCACAATTAATGCTCGTTAATTAATGCTAACGAGCTTTGGCAGCCGAGGAAGAATTTGTCATCACCTTCCTCCTCCAAGGACATTCCAGGCTGAGAAAATGAATCCAAGAATTCCTTGGAATCTGGGAATCCCCGGGATGGGGAAAATCTGGGAATCCCTGGGAAATCTCTGGGGTGGATTTTGAGGGGTTGATTCCAGTGCTGGGATATTCTCCCTCCAAAATTCCTGTTTGGATTTCGTGGCAAATCCAGAGAAATCCAGGATTTAGGTGCAGCTGGAATGTGCTTCCTGCTTTTCTGGCTGGAATTCCAAGCCAGATTTGGGATATTGAGTTGGATTTCATGTTTGGGATTTGAATAATTCATAGAGAAATGAATGATGGAGAGTGGAATAATAATTGAGAATTTAATTATAAATAGAGAATTTAATAGTAAAGAATTTAAAATGAAAGAATTAATAATTGAGACTTTATTAATAGAGAATTTAATAACAAAGAATTTTTTAATAAATAGAGAATTAAATAATAAAGAATTTATATAATAAATAAAGAATTTAAGGATATAAAATTTAATAACTAAATTTAATAAATAAAGAATTTAATAACAAAGAATTTAAAAATAAGTAGAAAATTTAATAATAAAGAATTTATGTAATAATAGAGAATTCAATGATGGTTTAATAATAAAGAATTTAATAGTGAGTAGAATATTTAATAGTAAATAGAGAATTTAATAATAAAGAATTTATATAATAGTGAATTCATGTAATAGAGAATTTAATGATCAACAGAGAATTTATATAATCAATAGAGAATTTAATGATAGAAAATTTATATAATAGAGAATTTGATAGTAGAGAATTTAATAACAAACAATTTAATAATAATAGAGAATCAAATAGAGAATTGATGTTAAGAAATTGAAATAAGTATTTTTTTAATTAAAAATTTTAACTTAATTTTTAATTCCAGATTTTTCTGCAGGGAAAGCGCTTCAAAATTTAACAATAAAAGAGAATTTAATAATAAGTAGAGAATTCAATAATAAAAATGGAATTTAATGATAGAGAGTTTAATAATAGATGGGAATTTAATAATAGAAAGTTTAATAACAAATAGAGAATTTAACAACAAAGAATTAAATAATGATTGAGAAATGAATAGAGAATTGATACAGAGAACTTGACCTAAATAATTTTTTTAATTTAAAAATTAATAAAATTCATAGTTTTTAATTTAAGTTATAATTCTGAATTTTTTCCTCAGAGTAGGCTCTCTGGAATTTGATAATAAAAAGGGAATTTCACAATTAATAGAGAATTTAATAATAAAAAGGGGATTTAATAATAGAGAATTCAATAATAAATCAAGAATTCAATAATAATTGAGAAATAGAAATAAATAGTTTAATTTTTGATTAAAAATGCGTGGAATGCACAATTCTGATTAAATTTGTGACTCTTTCTGCAGGGGAAGCTGTCCCTGGCCAACGGCTTCGTGCTGCAGGGGACGTTCAGCTCGCGGGGCGGCCGCGGCCTCAGCACCCAGGGCGTGCTCAGCACGGCCCCCGAGCCCCACAGGCAGCCGGAGTGAGAGCGGGAACAACAACGGGATCATGGGAACAATGGGACCATGGGGAACAACGGGATCATGGGAACAACAGGATCGTGGGGAACAACGGGGTCCTGGGGAACAACGGGATCGTGGGGAACAACGGGGCCATGGGAACAAGGGGACCATGGGGAACAACGGGATCGTGGGGAACAACGGGACTATGGGGAACAACGGGATCATGGGGAATAATGGGATCCTGGGGAACAACGGGATCATGGGGAACAACGGGACCATGGGAACAATGGGATGATGGGGAACAACGGGATCATGGGGAATAATGGGATCCTGGGGAACAACGGGATCATGGGGAACAACGGGATGATGGGGAACAATGGGACCATGGGAACAACGGGGTCCTGGGGAACAATGGGATCATGGGGAATAACGGGATCGTGGGGAGCAACGGGGTCGTGGGGAATAACGGGACCACGGGGAACAACGGGATCATGGGGAATAACGGGACCACGGGGAACAACGGGATCGTGGGAACAACGGGATCATGGGGAATAACGGGGTCCTGGGGAACAACGGGATCATGGGGAACAACGGGATCGTGGGAACAACGGGATCGTGGGGAACAACGGGATCATGGGAACAACGGGATCATGGGAACAACGGGATCGTGGGGAACAACGGGATCATGGGAACAACGGGATCAGGGGAACAATGGGATCATGGGAACAACGGGATCGTGGGGAACAACGGGGTCCTGGGGAACAATGGGATCATGGGGAACAATGGGATCATGGGGAACAAGGGGGCCATGGGAACAATGGGACCATTGGGAACAACGGGATCGTGGGGAATAATGGGATCCTGGGGAACAACGGGGCCATGGGAACAATGGGATCATGGGAACAACGGGATCATGGGGAACAACAGGATCGTGGGAACAATGGGACCATGGGGAACAACGGGATCATGGGGAACAACGGGATCATGGGGAACAACAGGATCGTGGGAACAATGGGATCATGGGAACAACGGGATCGTGGGGAACAATGGGGTCCTGGGGAACAACGGGATCATGGGGAACAATGGGACCATGGGGAACAACGGGACCGTGGGGAACAACGGGATCATGGGAACAACGGGATCATGGGGAACAACGGGATCATGGGAACAACAGGACCATGGGGAACAACGGGATCGTGGGGAACAACGGGACCACGGGGAACAATGGGGTCCTGGGGAACAATGGGGTCATGGGAACAACGGGATCATGGGGAACAACGGGATCATGGGGAACAACGGGACCACAGGGAACAACGGGATCATGGGAACAACGGGATCATGGGGAACAACGGGATCATGGGAACAACGGGGTCCTGGGGAACAATGGGGTCATGGGGAGCAATGGGATCATGGGGAACAACGGGACCATGGGGAACAATGGGATCATGGGGAACAACGGGACCATGGGGAACAATGGGATCATGGGGAACAACGGGACCATGGGGAACAACGGGACCATGGGAACAACGGGGTCCTGGGGAACAATAGGATCATGGGGAACAACGGGGTCCTTGGGAATGGGGATCCTTGGGGTCCTGGGGAATGGGATCACGGGGAACAACGGGGTCCTGGGGAACAACGGGGTCCTTGGGAATGGGGATCCTTGGGGTCCTGCGGAACGGAGTCCTGGGGAATGGGGTCCTGGGGAGTGGGATCCTTGGGGTCCTGAGGAGTGGGGTGCTGGGGAACGGGGTCCTTGGGGTGCTGGGGAACGGGGTCTTGGGAAATGGGATCATGGGGAACAACGGGGTCCTGGAGAACAACAGGGTCCTTGGGAATGGGGATCCTTGGGGTCCTGGGGAACGGAGTCTAGGGGAGTGGGATCCTTGGGGTCCTCAGGGTGGGTTCCTCGGGAACGGGGATCCTTGAGGTCCTGGGAAACAACAGGGTCCTTGGGAATGGGGATCCTTGGGGTCCTGGGGAATGGGATCCTTGGGGTCCTGCAGAACGGAGTCCTGGGGAATGGGGTCCTGGGGAGTGGGATCCTTGGGGTCCTGGGGAGTGGGGTGCTGGGGAACGGGGTCCTTGGGGTCCTTGGGAACGGGGTCCTGGGGAATGGGATCATGGGGAACAACGGGGTCCTGGGGAACAACGGGGTCCTTGGGGTCCTGGGGAACGGGGTTCTGGAGAATGGGGATCCTTGGGGTCCTCAGGATGGGTTCCTGGGGAATGAGGTCCTGGGGAACGGGGATCCTTGGGGTCCTGGGGAACGGGGTCCTGGGGAGTGGGATCCTTGGAGTCCTGGGGAATGGGGTCCTGGGGAATAGGGTCCTTGGGATCCTTGGGAATGGGATCCTTGGGAATGGGGTGCTCAGGAAGGGGATCCGTGGGGTCCTCGGGAATGGGATCCTTGGGATGGGATCCTTGGGAACGGGCTCCTGGGGAACAGGATCCTCAGGAAGGGGATCTTCAGGATGGGATCCTGGGGATGAAACCCTCAGGAACGGGATCCTTGGGATCTTTGGGATGGGATCCTGGGGAACTGGGTTCTGGGGAACAGGGTCCTTGGGAAGGGGATTCTCAGGAATGGGGCCCTGGGGAATGGGGTCCTCGGGATGGGGATCCTTGGGATCCTCTGGAAGGGGATTCCTGGGGTCCTCAGGAACGGGATCCTCGAGATGGGATCCTTGGGAAGGGGATCCTTGGGATCTTGGGGAACGGGGTCCTCAGGATGAGATCCTGGGGAACAGGGTCCTTGGGATGGGATCCTAAGGAGGGGGTCCTCGGAAACGGGATTCTGGGGAATGGGATCCTTGGGAATGGGATCCTCAGGAACGTGATCCTTGGGGTCCTCGGGAACAGGATCCTCGAGAAGAGATCCTGAGAATGGGATCCTTGGGATCCTGGGGAATGGGATCCACAGGAACAGGGTCTTTGGAATGGGATCCTTGGGATGGGGTCCTTGGGAAGAGGATTCTTGGGAACGGGGCCTTGGGAATGGGGTCCTGGGGATGGGATCCTCGGGAAGGGAGGCCATGGGAATGCTCCGCATCCAGCCCCGCAGGCATTCCTGGGAATTGATCCCAGTGTGGATTTATGGGCAATGGGACAGGGAGGGATGGAGCCCGGGGGGTTCAGGGCGGTGGGAGGCAGGGATGGATATTGGACTGAAATCCTGGGATTAATTCCATGTGGGAATGAGGGAGTGGATGCTGGACTGCAATCCGGGGATTAATTCCATGTGGGAATGAGGGAGTGGATGCTGGACTGCAATCCTGGGATTAATTCCATGTGGGAAGCAGGGATGGATTTTTTTAGTGCCATCCTGGGATTCTGATGCAGTTAATTCCGTAGAGAAGCAGGAATGGATGCCTTCCTGAAATCCTGGAATTGGGGTTAATTCCATAGGGAAGCAGGGATAGAAGTTGGACTGAAATGCTGGAATTGGGGTTAATTCCAATAGGGAAGCAGGGAATTGATGTTGGACTGCAGTCCTGGGATTTTCATGGAATTAATTCCCATTGGGAAGGAGGAATGGATGTTTTGATGCTCTCCAGCCCAAATTCCCCCCAAATCCCAGTTCCCCTCCCAAATCCCAGTTCAATTCCATCTTTTTTCCCCTCTAAAATATTCCCAGTTCCTCAGAGCATCTGTGGGATGGAAATTCCTTTTCCCTGAGCTATCCAGGCGGGAGCAGCTCCTGGGAGTGGTCGCTCAACTCTTTTCCAGCTTTTCTGCAGGAATTCTGAGGAGATCAAGAATCTTAAATAGGAATATTTAGGAGTATCCAGCAGTGAATGGAGCAGGAAATCAAAAATTCCGGATTATTTGTGTCCCACGCATCTGGAATTTTTTTCCCCCAAAGGATTTTTGTTGTCAGGACAAGAGGCTTGAAGGGTTTTTATGGAATTCCCATTTAGGAATTCCCATTTATGGAATCCATTTAGGATTATCTGGGAATGGTTTTGGTGGGAATGGAGCTTAAGGATGATCCCATTCCATGGATTCTCCCACTATCCCAGGTGGATCCAAGCTGGCCTTGGACGCTTCCAGGGATCCAGGAGCAGCCACAGCTTCTTTGGGAATTCCATCCCAGCCAGGAATTCCTTCCCAAAATCCCATCTAAATCCCCATTTTTCCAATGGGAAGCCATTCCCTGTGTCCTGTCCCTCCATCCCTTGTCCCAAGTCCCTCTCCAGCTCTCCTGGAGCCCCTGGAATTTTCCCTTCTCCAGGAAAACATTCCCAGCTCTCCCCGCCCTGTGTTTCCATCAAATCCCAGAGAACGTTCCCATATTTGAGGGGGAAATCCGCAAGAATTTGGGAAGACCATGGAAAATCACAGTCCTGTGTTGTTTTCCAGCCAGCTGGGCCTCAAGGAATTCCCAGTGGAGAAGAGATGGACGGGAATCTTCCAGCAATTCTTGGAATTCCTCCACTCTGGCTGCAAGGAGGAAATGGAGGAATCTTTCATGGGATTCCACATCCAAACCAGCAAGGAGCTGAGGAAATCCCAGGAATATCTGTTCTGCCAGAGGTACTGAGGGAATCCCGGGAATTCCTGAGGAAATCCCAGGAATATCTGTTCTGCCAGAGGTACTGAGGGAATCCCGGGAATTCCTGAGGAAATCCCGGGAATATTTGTTCTGCCAGTGAGGGGATCCCAGGAATCCCTGAGGAAATCCAGAGAATTCCTGTTCTGCCGAAGAGAATCCTGGGAATTCCTGAGGAAATCCCGGGAATATCTGTTCTGCCAGAGGTACTGAGGGAATCTTGGGAATTCCTGAGGAAATCCCGGGAATATTTGTTCTGCCAATGAGGGAATCCCGGGAATCCCTGAGGAAATCCAGGGAATTCCTGTTCTGCCAAGAGAGAATCCTGGGAATCCCTGAGGAAAACCAGGGAATTCCTGTTCTGCCAAGAGAGAATCCTGGGAATTTCTGTTTTGCCAATGTGGGAATCCTGGGAAATCCTGTTCTGACAATGAGGGAATTGCAGGAATTCCTGTTCTGCCAAAGGAACAGGAACTTTTACTGAGGGAATTCCAGGAATTCCTGTTCTGCTGAAGAAGAAATCCTGGGAATTCCTGTTCTGCCCAAGGTACTGAGGAGATCCCAGGAATTCCTCTCCTGCCAATGAGGGAATCCCAGGAATTCCTTTTCTCCCAAAGAGGAAATCCTGGGAATTCCTGTTCTGCCAAAGGAACGGGAACTTTTACTGAGGAAATCCTGGGAATTCCTGCTCTGTCCAAGAGAAAATCCCAGGAATTCCTGTTGGGAATGCGGGCCCTCATTCCCACCCGGGAATGTTGTGTAATTCCAAGAGTTTTCCAGCTGTTCCTGCTCAGGAAAAAGGAGCAGGAATTTCCTGCCTCAGCTGGAATTTTTGCTGCTGGGATTGATCCGCACCCATGGGAAATGAATTTATTGAAATGACTTGGATGCCCCTTTGGAATTTTCCAGCTGGGATTTGTTCATGGGTGGTTTTCCCTCAATTCTTGGTTCTTTTCCAGAGGCTCTGAGGAGATTTCCTGGAAAATTGAGGAGATCCTGGAAGATCTCACCGAGCACCAGGAGCCGGAGTCGCTCCAGGGTTATTTGGAGAAGGTGAGGATTGAAATGGTTTAATAAAATTAACAGAAATTATTAAAATTTTCATTATTAAAACGGTCAAAATCCAGGATTTATGATAAATAATCGAATGACAGAGGATTTATAGAAGAAATAATTTCATAGTAGAGAATTTTTAAATAAATAATAAAGAATTTTTATTATAAATAAGGAATTTACTAATAAAAGAATTTATATTAAAAAAGGGAATTTGATAATGGAGAATTTAATAAGAAATAAGAAATTTATATGATTTATCCATTATTATTTATATGAAATTAATTATTTATATGAAATCATTAATTATAATTATTTATAATTAATTATTAATAATTATTAATAAATAATAATTAATTATTTATATAAAATTTATTTTATCCATTATTATTTATATGAAATTATCCATTATTACAGGGAATGTAATAATGGATAATTTAATAATAAACAGAGAATTTATTAATAAATAGAGAATTCATATAATCAATAAATTGACTAATAATGACTTTAAGAATAGAGAATTTAATATTAAATAGAGAATTTAAGAATAAAGCATTTAATAATAAATACTTTAATAATAAATAGACAATTTAATTATGGAGATTTAAATAATAAATTGGGAATTTAACAGTAGAGAATTTACTGTAATAACTGATTTAAGAATAGAGAATTAATAGATAATTTAATAATGGAGAATTTAATAATAAATAGACAATTTAATTATAGAAAATTTATATAATAGAGAATTTAAGAATAAATAAAGAATTTATATAATAGATAATTAAAGAACAGAGAAATTAGTAATTAATAGAGAATTTAAGAATAAAAAATTCATATAATTAATAGAGATTTTAAAAATAGAGAATTTATTAGTAAATAGAGAATTTAATAATAAATAGAGAATTTGTTTAAAAACCAGAGAATTTATAGAATAGAAAAATTAATAATCAAGAATTTATCTAATAAATAGCGAGGTTATTTTTCCCTCACCCACTTTTCCTTGGAGCGCCTTTTGTTCCCTCCGGAATATCCCAGCAAATCCCAACTGGAAAAGGGAGCAGGGAGCATTTACGGCATCCGGAAGATCCCAAATCCCAGCTGGGAATCCCAGGAGGAATCTGGGGCTTTTCCTCTCCTCCTGATCCATGAAATTGGGATTTCCAGGCGTTGGAATCTTCCCTGCATCCCTTGGGAAAGCTGCTCAGGGCTCTGGCCGTGGCGTTCCAGGCGACGTATTCCGGGATCGGCGCCAACCGGCACCTGCTGGCCATGGCGCAGGAGGAGGTCAAGTTCTACTCCAAGAAAATCTGGGAATTCTACCAGTGAGTCCAGGCTGGAGCTTTTCCATGGGGCGGGAGCATGGAATGGATCTTTGGGATCCTGGGATTGGGAGCTGGGCCTTAGTTGTGGTCCTGTGTGCTTGGGAGTCCTTGGGAGGACATGGGAATTCATGGGAATTCTTGGGAATTCTAGGGAATTCTTGGGAGCACTTTGGAATTCTTGGGAATTTTTTGAAATTCATGGGAATTCTTTGGAATTCTTCGGAGCTCTTTGTAATTCTTGGGAGCTCTTTGTAATTCTTGGGAATTGTTCAGAATTCTTGGGAGTTCTTTGTAATTCTTGGGAATTCTTGAGAATTCTTGAGAATTCTTGGGACTTCTTCAGAATTCTTGAGAATTCTTGGGAGTTCTTGGGAATTCTTCAGAATTCTTGGGAGTTCTTTGGAATTCTTGGGAATTCTTGGGAATTTTTGGGAGTTCTTTGGAATTCTTTGGAATTCCTGAGAGTCTCCAGGAGTTCCTGGGAGAGTTGCTTCCTCGAGGTGTCAGTGTCAATCAGAGCACAAATCCCTGTGGCTGGAAATCCATGACTGAAGGAAAAACGGGATCATGGAATGCTTTGGGTGGGAAATCTCATCCAGCTCCAGTCCCTTCCTACTATCCCAGGTTGCTCCAAGCCCTGTCCAACCTCTCCTTGGACACTGCCAGGGATCCAGGGGCAGCCACAGATTTTCTGGGAATTTCATCCCAGCCCCTCCCCACCCTCCCAGCCAGGAATTCCTTCCTGAAATCCAACCTGAACCATTCCAGGATTCTCTGGGAAATCAAGACAAAGCCCAGCTGCTCATCCAGAGTGGGGTCAGGAATTGTGACCACTGTGCTCTTTAGAATCCGTGGAAATTCTGGAATTCTCAGCCATTCCTGGTGCTTCTGCTGCTCGAGCAGAAACCCCTGAAACGCTGCAACAACTCCGTCAGAATTCCAGGGATTTTCACTGATCTCCCACTCCTCCTCTGGGAACAAATTATCCTTAAACGAAACCAGGGAAGGAACTCATCCTTGCTTTTGCTCTTCCAGGGGCTTGCTCCGGGTGGCCCTGGAGCGGAAGGGCCGCGCGCCCTCGGAGGATGCGGATCCCAGGTTGGTGGCGCCTCCAGAGGTTCCGTGTTCAGATCCCGGTGGGATTTACCAGGGGTCCTGGAATTCAGGAAGTGCTGAGCTCGTGTTTGTCTGCTTGAGCCAGGATCATAGCCCAGTGGCTCCAAAGATCTCCTGGAGCTCCAGGTTTTCCTGGTGACTCCCGAGGTCTGGAGCTCCAGGTTTTCCTGGTGACTCCCAAGGTCTGGAGCTCCAGGTTTTTCCTGGTGACTCCCGAGATCTGGAGCTCCCAGTTTCTCCCAGTGAATTTCCCGGAGATCTCCTGCTGCTCCAGGTTTTTCCCAGCGGCTCCAAAGATCTCCTGGAGCTTCACGTTTTTCCTGGTGACTCCGGAGATCTGGAGCTCCTGGTTTTCCTGGTAACTCCCAAGGTCTGGAGCTTCCAGTTTCTCCCAGTGATTTTCCTGGAGATCTGCTGCTGCTCCAGGTTTTTCCCAGTGGCTCCAAAGATCTCCTGCTGCTCCAGGTTTTCCTGGTGACTCCGGAGATCTGGAACTCCAGTTTTTTTCTGCTAACTCCCGAAATCTGGAGCTCCAGGTTTTGCTGGTAACTCCAGAGATCTGGAGCTCCAGGTTTCTCCCAGTGAATTTCCAATTTCCTGGAGATCTCCTGCTGCTCCAGGTTTTTCCCAGTGGCTCCAAAGATCTCCTGGAGCTCCAGGTTTCCCCTGATGACTCTGGAGATCTGGAGCTCCAGGTTTTCCTGGTGACTCCCGAGATCTGGAGCTCCCAGTTTCTCCCAGTGAATTTCCTGGAGATCTGCTGCTCCAGGTTTTTCCCAGTGGCTCCAAAGATCTCCTGGAGCTCCAGGTTTTTCCTGGTGACTCCCGAGATCTGGAGCTTCCAGTTTCTCCCAGTGATTTTCCTGGAGATCTGCTGCTGCTCCAGGTTTTTCCCAGTGGCTCCAAAGATCTCCTGCTGCTCCAGGTTTTCCTGGTGACTCCGGAGACCTGGAACTCCAGTTTTTTTCTGCTAACTCCCGAAATCTGGAGCTCCAGGTTTTTCCTGGTAACTCCTGAAATCTGGAGCTCCAGGTTTTGCTGGTAACTCCAGAGATCTGGAACTCCAGGTTTCTCCCAGTGAATTTCCAATTTCCTGGAGATCTCCTGCTGCTCCAGGTTTTACCCAGTGGCTCCAAAGATCTCCTGGAGCTCCAGGTTTTTCCTGATGACTCCCGAGATCTGGAGCTCCAAGTTTTCCTGGTGACTCCGGAGATCTGGAGCTCCCAGTTTCTCCCAGTGAATTTCCTGGAGATCTGCTGCTCCAGGTTTTTCCCAGTGGCTCCAAAGATCTCCTGGAGCTCCAGGTTTTTCCTGATGACTCTGGAGATCTGGAGCTCCAAGTTTTCCTGGTGACTCCGGAGATCTGGAGCTCCTGGTTTTTCCCAGTGAATTCCCTGGAGATCTGCTGCTGCTCCAGGTTTTCCTGGTGACTCCAGAGATCTGGAACTCCAGTTTTTTTCTGCTAACTCCCGAAATCTGGAGCTCCAGGTTTTTCCTGGTAACTCCTGAAATCTGGAGCTCCAGGTTTTGCTGGTAACTCCAGAGATCTGGAGCTCCAGGTTTCTCCCAGTGAATTTCCAATTCCCTGGAGATCTCCTGCTGCTCCAGGTTTTACCCAGTGGCTCCAAAGATCTCCTGGAGCTTCACGTTTTCCCTGATGACTCCCGAGATCTGGAGCTCCAGGTTTTCCTGCTAACTCCCGAGATCTGGAGCTCCTGGTTTCTCCCAGTGAATTTCCTGGAGATCTCCTGCTGCTCCAGGTTTTTCCCAGTGGCTCCAGAGATCTCCTGGAGCTCCAGGTTTTCCTGGTAACTCCAGAGATCTGGAGCTCCAGGTTTTTCCTGGTGACTCCGGAGATCTGGAACTCCAGGTTTTCCTGGTGACTCCCGAGATCTGGAGCTCCCAGTTTCTCCCAGTGAATTTCCTGGAGATCTCCTGCTGCTCCAGGTTTTTCCCAGTGGCTCCAGAGATCTCCTGGAACTCCAGGTTTTTCCTGATGACTCCAGAGATCTGGAGCTCCCGGTTTTTCCTGGTGACTCTGGAGATCTGGAGCTCCAAGTTTTCCTGGTGACTCCGGAGATCTGGAGCTCCTGGTTTTTCCCAGTGAATTCCCTGGAGATCTGCTGCTGCTCCAGGTTTTTCCCAGTGGCTCCAAAGATCTCCTGGAGCTCCCGGTTTTTCCTGGTGACTCTGGAGATCTGGTGCTCCAGGTTTTGCTGGTAACTCCCGAGATCTGGAGCTCCAGGTTTCTCCCAGTGAATTCCCTGGAGATCTCCTGGAGCACCAGAACCTCTTGGATCAACTTGTGGCCACCACAACCCAACTGCGCCAAGCTCGGAAGAGCGGAAAACAAGGAGAACCCAGAACCCCTTGGAAACGCCTCTCCCATAGGTTTGGGAATATCCACATGGATTTCCCTGGAAAATCTCAGGGTTTTTTTTTTTCCCTGTTTTCCAGTCTCGGGAAGGGCTCCAGGCTGGTGCTGCCCCTGATCCTGCCCAGATTCTATCCCGAGCTCTCCATGCTCTACATGCTCCAGCACCAGCGGGAGGACGAGCTCTACTGCCAGGGAATCGTGGAGCTCAGCCTCTTCCCGGATATCCAGCTCCTGGAATTCCTGGATGTGCAGAAGTAAGTGGGATTTTCCCATCCCCAGGGAAAATCCCGGGAGAGTTGAGTAGCTTTTTGATTCATCGTTGGTTTTTCCCCAGTTTTTCACTGGGAGTTTCTCCCAGAATTCCTACTTGGGAATGTTTGGCTGGAAGGAGAATTGGTACTGGGAAGCTGCTGTTATCCCTGCTAATCCTCATTTTTGTGTGGAGAATTCCCAAATTTTTTGCTCCAAATCATCCAGAATTGATAAATGTCTTGGAGAAGGAATGTTCATTCCAGGGTATTCCCTGTTAAAATGTAGGAATACTGACTGAAAATATGGAAAAAGTGGAGGCAGGTGTTTCCCTCCACCATTCCTGCTTCTGGATCCACCTCTGGAAGTGATGGAAAGCAGCTTGGGAATTTTCCTCCGGGATTTCAGGAGCACAGCAGGTCCAGGGTCTCAATTGGATTCCTTCCAAAAGAAATGAGAGGAATTGGATCCAAAAGTGCCAAAATTTCCCATGGATTATCCCAGGATCATCCCTGAGGAATGCAAACTCTGATGGGAGCTCCCAGGGAAGTGGATCCATGGGATGGGAGCTGTGAATGGAAGTGGATCCATGGGGATGGAGGCTCCCAGGGAAGGGGATCCATGGGATGGGATCTCCCAGGGAAGTGGATCCATAGTATGGAGAGAAGTGGATCCGTGGGATGGAGAGAAGTGGATCCATGGGATGGAGGGAAGTGGATCCATTGGATGGAAGCTCCCGGGGAAGTGGATCCATGGGATGGAGGGAAGTGGATCCATTGGATGGAGGGAAGTGGATCCATGGGGATGGAGGGAAGTGGATCCATGGGGATGGAGGCTCCCAGGGAAGTGGATCCATGGGTTGGAGGGAAGTGGATCCATGGGATGGAGGGAAGTGGATCCATTGGATGGGAGCTCCCGGGGAAGTGGATCCATTGGATGGGAGCTCCCGGGGAAGTGGATCCATGGGATGGGAGCTGTGATGGAAGTGGATCCATGGGAATGGAGGCTCCCAGGGAAGTGGATCCATGGGATGGGATCTCCCAGGTTCCTGAGGCAAATCCCACCCGGAGCAGGACCAGGAGAGGAGCGAGTGGAGCCTCCGAGGCTTTGGCAGCACCTTGGGGGAGGAGATGGAAGAACCGACGGGATTCAGGATGGAATCCATCCTAAATCCCGCTTTTCCCTTTCCAGGCACCTGTGGCCTCTCAAAGATCTCACCCTGACCTCCAACCAGGTAAGGAAAACCCTCGGAGCCAGCCGGGAATGGGAATGGGACATGGAATTGGGCTTGGATGAGGACAGAGCTTCTCTGAATGAATCCCAGGAATCCGAGCTCCATGATCAGCTCCCATCCAGAGGCGCTGCCTGTGGATTTCTGTGGAGATTTTGTGGGATGGTTCCGGAATCGCTGCCCCCAGTATTCCCAAGGTATCCCTGTCTCTTTTCCAGAGGCGCTCCCTGATCAAGGATAAATGTTTCCTGTCTGCCACCGAGTGCCTGCAGAAGCTCATGTGAGTCCCTGCCTGGCTCTTCCCACTCAAATCCAGGGATTTTTTTTATTTTTGGGAAATGCCAGGAATTTGCACCTGTTTCAAAAGCATTCCTGGGCAATTCCATTCATTATTTAAGGAAAAGTTGTTTGGGATGTGCTTTCTGGTTCAAAGCGAATTCCATGGAATTTTTCCCTCCAAAATTTTGTGGAGACATCAATAATGAAATCCAGCAGTTCCCTGCTCAGTGTCCTCCACTTGCCACAGATATTTCCTGGGAAGGAATTCCTGGCTGGGAATGTGGGGATGGAATTCCATCTCTGTGGATGGAATTCCCAGAGAAGCTGTGGCTGCCCCTGGATCCCGGGAAGTGCCCAAAGCCAGTTTGGAGCACCCTGGGACAGTGGGAAATGTCCCTGGCATGGGGTTGGAACTGGATGTTCTTTAGGATCCCATCCAACCCCAAAAATTCCATGATTCCATGATTTTGAATTGTTCCAGTTGGGGTCTTGAGGCAAAGCAGACGAGCTTGGCATCAGCATGGAGGGAAAATATTCCAGCATTCCCTGAGGGGATTCCAAAGCCTTAGCCTCCAGTTCCCAAAAGAGCCCGAAATTCCTCACATCCTCAAATGTCCCATTCCATTTGGGAGATCCCAGGAATGTCCCATTCCATATTGGAGACACCAGGAATGTCCCATTCCACCCCGGAACATCCCCTGGCCCAAACTCGGTGTCTCTTCTTTCCTCCACCCTTTGGCCCCAATCCATCAATCCTTGCATCCCTAATTTTTTTCTTTTTAAACCCTGTTTTTCCGGATGCAGCTTTTCCATGGCTCTTTTATCTTGGCAGCCCCAGAGTGGATCCCAGGGAGAAGCTGGAGATCCTGAGGAAGAGGATCTCCAGGAATGTCCCATTCCATATGGGAGACACCAGGAATGTCCCATTCCATATTGGAAACAGCAGGAATGTCCCATCCAATAATGGAGACACCAGGAATGTCCCATTCCACCCTGGAACATCCCCTGGCCCAAACTCGGTGCCTCCCCTTTGGAGCCAATCCATCAATCCTTGCATCCCTAATTTTATGTTTTTTCTTTTAACCTCATTTTTCCGGGTGCAGCTTTTGTTTTCCATGGCTCTTTTGTCCCGGCAGCATCATGGTGGATCCCAGGGAGAAGCTGGAGATCCTTTGGAAGAGGATCTCCAGAAATGTCCCATTCCATATGGGAGACACCAGGAATGTCCCATTCCAAATGGGAGACACCAGGAATGTCCCATTCCATATTGGAAACAGCAGGAATTTCCCATTCCATATGGGAGATCCCAGGAATGTCCCATTCCACCCTGGAACATCTCCTGGCCCAACCTTGGTGCCTCCCCTTTGGAGCCAATCCATCAATCCTTTCATCCCTTATTTTTTATTTTTTTTTTCATCCTGCTTTTCCGGATGCAGCTTTTCCATGGCTCTTTTATCCCAGCAGCCCCAGAGTGGATCCCAGGGAGAAGCTGGAGATCCTCCGGAAGAGGATCTCCAGAAATGTCCCATTCCATATGGGAGACACCAGGAACATCCCATCCCATACGAGAGACCCCAGGAATGTCCCATTCCACTTGGGAGATCCCAGGAATGTCCCATCCAATATTGGAGACATCAGGAACGTCCCATCCCATACGAGAGACCCCAGGAATGTCCCATTCCACCCTGGAACATCTCCTGGCCCAACCTCGGTGCCTCCCCTTTGGAGCCAATCCATCAATCCTTTCATCCCTAATTTTTTTTTTTTTTTTTCATCCTGCTTTTCCGGATGCAGCTTTTCCATGGCTCTTTTATCCCAGCAGCCCCAGAGTGGATCCCAGGGAGAAGCTGGAGATCCTCCGGAAGAGGATCTCCAGAAATGTCCCATTCCATATGGGAGACACCAGGAACGTCCCATCCCATATGAGAGAGACCAGGAATGTCCCATTCCACTTGGGAGATCCCAGGAATGTCCCATCCAATATTGGAGACATCAGGAACGTCCCATCCCATACGAGAGACCCCAGGAATGTCCCATCCAATATTGGAGACACCAGGAACGTCCCATCCCATACGAGAGACCCCAGGAATGTCCCATTCCACCCTGGAACATCCCCTGGCCCAACCTTGGTGCTTCCTCTTTCCTCCACCCTTTGGCCCCAATCCATCAATCCTCTCATCCCTAATTTTTTTCATTTTAACCCGGTTTTTCCGGGTGCGGCTTTCCCATGGCTCTTTTATCCCGGCAGCACCACGGTGGATCCCAGGGAGAAGCTGGAGATCCTTTGGAAGAGGATCTCCAGAAATGTCCCATTCCATATGGGAGACACCAGGAATGTCCCATCCCATACGAGAGACCCCAGGAATGTCCCATCCAATACTGGAGACACCAGGAATGTCCCATTCCACCCTGGAACATCTCCTGGCCCAACCTTGGTGCCTCCCCTTTGGAGCCAATCCATCAATCCTTTCATCCCTAATTTTTTTTATTTTAACCCCGTTTTTCCGGGTGCGGCTTTCCCATGGCTCTTTTATCCCGGCAGCACCACAGTGGATCCCAGGGAGAAGCTGGAGATCCTTTGGAAGAGGATCTCCGGAAATGTCCCATTCCCTATGGGAGATACCAGAAATGTCCCATTCCATACTGGAAACACCAGAAATGTCCCATTCCATATTGGAGACACCAGGAATGTCCCATTCCACCCTGGAACATCCCCTGGCCCAACCTTGGTGCTTCCTCTTTCCTCCACCCTTTGGCCCCAATCCATCCATCCTCTCATCCCTAATTTTTTCATTTTAAACCCGGTTTTTCCGGGTGCGGCTTTCCCATGGCTCTTTTGTCCCGGCAGCACCACGGTGGATCCCAGGGAGAAGCTGGAGGTCCTGCGGCAGACCTACGAGGAGCTGGAGCTGACGGTGTCGCGGCTGCTGGGCGCCGGTTACCGCCTGCCCATGGACGACCTCCTGCCGCTCCTCGTGTTCGTCGTGTCCCGAGCCAGGTGGGCCCAGTTTGTTCCCTCTGGAATGTTTCCGAGTGGAAGAATTCCAATGAAAACTTCTGGGATTTTGGGGGGGTTGGATGTGTTGGGTTTCTGTGGGTTTTTTTTTGTTTTTGTTTCTTTTGGTTTTCCTTCCCCCCAGAGGCGCGGTTGGGTTTTTTGGGATATAAATGTGGAATTCTGGAGTGCCCGTGTCTTATCCCAGACAATATTTCATGGAAAATCAGATTCCTTTTATCCCAGAATTCCAAAGTGCCCATGTCTTATCCCAGACAATATTTCATGGAAAATCAGATTCCTTTTATCCCAGAATTCCAAAGTGTCCGTGTCTTATCCCAGACAATATTTCATGGAAAATCTGATTCCTTTTATCCCAGAATTCCAAAGTGTCCGTGTCTTATCCCAGACAATATTTCATGGAAAATCAGATTCCTTTTATCCCAGAATTCCAAAGTGTCCGTGTCTTATCCCAGACAATATTTCATGGGAAATCAGATTCCTTTTATCCCAGAATTCCAAAGTGTCCGTGTCTTATCCCAGACAATATTTCATGGAAAATCAGATTCCTTTTATCCCAGAATTCCAAAGTGTCCGTGTCTTATCCTAGACAATATTTCATGGAAAATCAGATTCCTTTTATCCCAGAATTCCAAAGTGCCCGTGTCTTATCCTAGACAATATTTCATGGAAAATCAGATTCCTTTTATCCCAGAATTCCAAAGTGTCCGTGTCTTATCCTAGACAATATTTCATGGAAAATCAGATTCCTTTTATCCCAGAATTCCAGGGTATCTGTGCCTTACCCCAAAGGATATTCCAGGGTTTTCATGGAAAATCAGATTCCTTTTATCCCAGAATTCCAAAGTGTCCGTGTCTTATCCCAGACAATATTTCATGGAAAATCAGATTCCTTTTATCCCAGAATTCCAAAGTGTCCGTGTCTTATCCCAGACAATATTTCATGGAAAATCAGATTCCTTTTATCCCAGAATTCCAAAGCATCCGTGCCTTATCCCAGACAATATTTCATGGAAAATCAGATTCCTTTTATCCCAGAATTCCAAAGTGTCCGTGTCTTATCCTAGACAATATTTCATGGAAAATCAGATTCCTTTTATCCCAGAATTCCAGGGTATCTGTGCCTTACCCCAAAGGATATTCCAGGGTTTTCATGGAAAATCAGATTCCTTTTATACCAGAATTCCAGACTGTCCATGTCTTATCCCAAAGGATATTTCATGGAAATAAGATTGATTTTATCCCAGAATTCCAAAGTGTTTCTGTCTTATCCCAGACAATATTTCATGGAAAATCAGATTCCATTTATTTTATCCCAGAATTCCATAGTGTCTGTGTTTTATCCCAAAGGATATTCACGGGTTTTAATGGAAAATCAGGTTCCTTTTATCCCAGAATTCCAGAGTGTCCGATATCCTTTTATCCCAAAGGATATTCAGTGGAAATGGGCTTCCTTTTATCCTGGAATTCCAGAATGTCCATGTTTTATCCCAGACAACATTCCAGGGTTTTAATGGAAAAAGTGATTCCTTTTATCCTGGAATTCCAGAGTGTCCGTCTCTTATCCCAGATGATATTTCAGAGTTTTCATGGAAATCCCAGAATTCCAGGGTGTCTGTGAATTATCCCAGACAATATTTCATGGAAAAAGTGATTCCTTTTACTCTGGAATTTCAGAGCGTCCATCCCTTATCCCAGATGATATTCCAGGGTTTTCATGGAAAATGAGATTCATTTAATCCCAGAATTCCAGAGTCTCCATCTCTTATCCCGCAGAAGATTGGGACAGTGGGAGGTCCCTGCCCATGGATCATCTGTAAGGACCTTTCCGACCCCCAACACTCTGGAATTCTGGGAATCCTACAGAAATTTTCCACCCTCAGCAGGGACTGGGATTCCGTTGGGAGATAAGGAAACCCAAATTCCATCCAGCAATTGGAATTTCCTATGGATGGATCTGGAATTTTCTTGGGATGGAGCATCCCCAGTTGTGGCTCCTGAATCCCTTTAGGTGTTCCCGGTGGGAAGCGCTTGGAAAAAAAATTGGGATAATGGGAAGTCCCTGCTCAGGGATCATCCTGAAGGAGCTTTCCAACCCCAACCACTCCAGAGTTCTGGAATGCTGGGATTCTGGAGTTCTGGGATTCTGGAATGCTGGGATTCTGTGACTCTGGAATTCTCTGATTCTGGGATTCTGGAGTTCTGGGATTCTGGGATTCCGAGATTTTTGGATTCTGTGACTCTGGAATTCTCTGATTCTGGAAATCTGGAGTTCCAGGACTCTGGGATTTCGGGATTCTGGAATTTTGGGATTCTGTGACTCTGGAATTCTCTGATTCTGGAAATCTGGAGTTCCAGGACTCTGGGATTTCGGGATTCTGGAATTTTGGGATTCTGAGATTCTGGAATTCTATGATTCTGGAAACCTGGAGTTCTGTGATTCTGGAGTTCTGGGACTCTGGGATTCTGGAATTCTGAGATCCCAAATCCCTCCAGCAGATCCGGATGCACCAGCACTGGAATTCCAGAGTTTTCCTCCTCCTCTCTAAAATTCCAACCCCTCCATGTGCCCTGAGATTTTTTCCTGGATTTTGGGATGTGTTTTTCCCTAGGATCCAACACCTGGGAGCTGAAATCCACCTGATCCGGGATTTGATGGATCCGACCAACCAGGGAGGAATGTTGGACTTCCTGCTGACAGCACTGGAGGTATGGGGATTTTTCCAGGAATTCCAGCAAAATTCCAGCTTTTCAGGAATTGGAATTTTCAGGATTTTATTCCCTTGTTGGGCTGGAAAAAAATCCTAATTCCTTAATTCCGGACAGATTGGATTTTGTAGGAATTCTCCTTGGGATCAGCAGGGATTCTCTGCCTGCAGGAGCTTGGATTCGATCCCAGAATTCCCAAATTTTTCCCTGATTTTTGCTCTGTTCCCTCCCCAGTCGTGCTATGAACACATCCAGAAGATCCGGCTCCATCCAAAGGAAAACTCCCACAGCTCCTGATCCATGGGGAAAATCTGAATTTTCCTGAATTTTCCGGACCAAACCCCACTGGAAAAAGCGGGAATTTTATCCCTGGCTGCCTTCAAAGGGAAGAATTCCTCCCCAGCCGAGGTTTTCCTGATCCCAAAAACACTGGAAGGGCTGGAATTTCCATCTCCAAGGTTTTTTTTTTATTTTTTTTGGAGTTTTATCCCCTTTTCCTGCAAATAATTCCCAGGAAAAATCTCCTTTCCCTGCTCAGGATGGGGTTTGTCTTTTTGCACTGGAGAATTCCCAGAAAAAGAAAGAATTTCTTTGGGAAAACCCAATTTTTAATGGGATTTCTTGGACTGGGAAGGAGAGCTCATCCCAAAACTCCTAAAAATTTCTGGAATGAGAGGAGATTTTTCCTGCCACTCCTTTTCCTACTTTTCCCAACTCAGGACTTTTCCAATTCCATTTGGAAGCTGCTATTCCCAAATTTCCTGCTTTTCCCATGCTCCAAGATTTTTATTTGTCCTTGGGAGACCTCAGGGCTGATCCCACACCTTGGAATTCTGGAGGGCTTGGAAAAAACCACGGATTTCTCCTGGATTTTGGGCAATTCCGGGAAAACAACCAGAAATTCTGGAATAAAAACTCCAATCCCAGCTGGATTTGTGCCCTGCCCACCCCAGAGGTGCTTTGTGCTCTGAGCTGGAATTTCCCTTTGGAAAAAGAATATTTGGGATATTCCCATGGGTATTTGGGATGCTGTTCCCGGCATCCCAAAATAATTTAAAAATAGCCCTAAAAAAATCTTATTTTTGACAGTTTTTATCCCTTTTTTTTTTGTCATTTTTCCTGGGATTTTTTTTTTTCTTATCCAGAAAAATAAAACTCCCCAAGCTTTTTCCAGCTGTTTTTCCCGAGTTTTCCTGATTTCCTAAATTAAGGAAAGTGCTTCTTGATACTTTTGGAAATGAAGAATTGGAAATCCAAAGCTTTCTAAAAATGGGATTTTTGTCATTTTTCCCTTGGGATTTTTTTCATTTTTCCCAGGAATTTTTTTACCTTATCCAGGTGACTCTGGGAGAACAAAATCCCCCAGGTTTTTTTCCTCCCATTTTCCCCAAATTTTATCATTTAATAAAAAACCAGATTAATTACAAGGATTACTGGATTAATGAGAGAATCCCATGGGAAGATTGCCAGGAATTTTTATTTGAATAAAACTATGGGAATTTTGAAGAACTTCCAGGATCCACGTGCTCCTTCTTCCAATCTTCTTTGTTTTCAGGAATTTGGGAATTTTCTAAATGAAGGAAAAGTGGATTCCTGATATTTTTGGGAATGAAGAATTGGAAGTCCAAATAAATGGGATTTTCTTTTTTTTAAATAAATGGGAGTTTTGTCATTTTTCCCAGGAATTTCTTCATTTTTCCAAGGAATTTTTTTGCCTTATCCAGGTGACTCTGGGAAAACAAAACCCTCCAGTTTTTTTCCTCTCATTTTCCCCAGATTTTATCCTTTAATAAATAACAGATTCATTACTGTGTTAACTAATTAAGAATTAATATATTAACGAGAGAATCTCACTGGAAGTTTGCCAGGAATTTTTATTTAAATAAAACTTTGGAATTTTGAAGATTCCAGGCTCTGCGTGCTCCTTATTCCAATCTTTGTCATCTTCAAGAATCCAGGAATTTCCTAAATTGAGGAAAAACGGCTCCTTGATATTTTTGAGAATGAAGGGAAAAAATTGCAAAATTCCTACTGCAAAAGGACATGCAAAGTGCAGGGGGGTAAAAATTCCAAGGAATTCAAGGAAAAACGAGGTGGATTTTCAGTTTGACTTCCTAAAACTTCCGGAAATTCCAAGTTTTTCTTGGCTTTGATTTTGGGAAGGATTCAAGCGAGGCCTGAAGGTAACAGTGTGCAGCCATTTGTGCTTCCAGGTTTTGGATTTTTCCAAGGAAAAGCAGGAGGGGGAGGTTCCACTGGGAATATTCTGGGTGGGAATTGTGCTGTGGAAGCGTGCAGGAGGTGCTGGATCCACAAAAACATTCCACAAGGAATTTTTTCCCTGAGTGCCTGCTCAGAATCCTAAAAAATGTGGGATTTTCATTCAGCTGGGATCGTTTTTTCCCCAATTCCTCCAAACCACTCAGAACTTTCCTGATCTTTCCTGGAGGGAATTCTGGGGCTTGGGATAGAGCGTGGGATTTTGGGAGCATATTCCCATTCCTGGTTTTTATTGGGATTGAGTCAAAGCAGGTTTTGCTTGGAGTTGAATTAAATTAAATTTAATCCTGAGCGTCTCAGCTTTGGAAATCCCACTTTGGAAGACATGGAATCAACATTCCCAAATCCTGGCTCCAGCTCAGGCTTCCATGGAATTCAGCAGCTGGAATTCCCTGAAAAAGGGATGGAAAAGCTGAGCTGCACCTGGAAGAGGAGAGGTTTTAACAAAGCTGAGCTTAAGCACGGGGAATTTGCTTCATTCCACTTCCACACTTGATCCATAGGGAATTTTTGCCCTGAGTGATGCTCAGAATCCTAAGGAAGTTTGGGATTTTCCTTTGGCTGGGATGGTTTTTTCCTTAATTCCTGCAAACCACTCTGAATCTTTGGGAATGCTCTCCCTCCTTCCCAAATGTTCTCCCTCCTTCCATTCTTCCTCTTCCCATGGGAGTAAAGCTCTTGTCCAAGTCCATTTCCTCCAAACCCTTTGGAAAAAAGGTGGAAAAGCGGGAATTCAGAGCAGGGCCGTGCCTATGGCTGACTCCAGGTGATGGCTCCAGCTCAGGCTTCCATGGAATTCAGCAGCTGGAATTCCCTAAAAAAGGGATGGAAAAGCTGAGCTGCACCTGGAAGAGGAGTGGTTTTAACAAAGCTGAGCTTAAGCACGGGGAATTTGCTTCATTCCACTTCCACACTTGATCCATAGGGAATTTTTGCCCTGAGTGATGCTCAGAATCCTAAGGAAGTTTGGGATTTTCCTTTGGCTGGGGTGGTTTTTTCCTTAATTCCTGCAAACCACTCGGAATGTTTGGGAATGTTGTCCCTCTTTCCCAAATGTTCTCCCTCCTTCCCAGATGTTCTCCCTCCTTCCATTCTCCCTCTTCCCATGGGAGTAAAGCTCTTGTCCAAGTCCATTTCCCCCAAACCCTTTGGAAAAGACCTTGGAAAAGCGGGAATTCACAGCAGGGCCGTGCCTATGGCTGACTCCAGGTGATGGCTCCAGCTCAGGCTTCCATGGAATTCAGCAGCTGGAATTCCCTGAAAAAGGGATGGAAAAGCTGAGCTGCACCTGGAAGAGGAGGGGTTTTAACAAAGCTGAGCTTAAGTACAGGGAATTTGCTTCATTCCGCTTCCACACTTGATCCATAGGGAATTTTTGCCCTGAGTGATGCTCAGAATCCTAAGGAAGTTTGGGATTTTCCTTTGGCTGGGGTGGTTTTTTCCTTAATTCCTGCAAACCACTCGGAATCTTTGGGGATGTTGTCCCTCCTTCCCAAATGTTCTCCCTCCTTCCCAGATGTTCTCCCTCCTTCCCAGATGTTCTCCCTCCTTCCATTCTCCCTCTTCCCATGGGAGTAAAGCTCTTGTCCAAGTCCATTTCCCCCAAACCCTTTGGAAAAGACCTTGGAAAAGCGGGAATTCAGAGCAGGGCCGTGCCTATGGCTGGCTCCAGGTGATGGCTCCAGCTCAGGCTTCCATGGAATTCAGCAGCTGGAATTCCCTGAAAAAGGGATGGAAAAGCTGAGCTGTATCTGGAAGAGGAGAGGTTTTAACAAAGCTGAGCTTAAGCACAGGGAATTTGCTTCATTCCACTTCCACACTTGATCCATAGGGAATTTTTGCCCTGAGTGATGCTCAGAATCCTAAGGAAGTTTGGGATTTTCCTTTGGCTGGGGTGGTTTTTTCTTTAATTCCTGCAAACCACTCGGAATCTTTGGGGATGTTGTCCCTCCTTCCCAAATGTTCTCCCTCCTTCCCAGATGTTCTCCCTCCTTCCATTCTCCCTCTTCCCATGGGAGTAAAGCTCTTGTCCAAGTCCATTTCCCCCACACCCTTTGGAAAAGACCTTGGAAAAGCGGGAATTCAGAGCAGGGCCGTGTCGATGGCAGACTCCAGGTGCTGGAGCAGCGCCTCCGGGGAAGGGGACAGGGCAGTCAGGTCCAGCTTCCGGAAATCCTCGTTAGCGCTTAACGAGCTCAGCACCTTCACCGTCCTCTTGAGGTCGAAGACGGCGTGCAGCATTCCCAGGGTGGAGATGGCAGCTCTGGAATCGTTCCGGGACGAGGATTCCTCATCCAGGCCCTTCTCCAGGATGGAAATCCGGTTTTCCGCGATGACTTTGAGGAAGTTGTAGAATTCCTTGTAGTCGATGCCCGTGCAGGATTTCATGATCAGCTGAAGGGGGAAATGGAGTGAGAATGGGAATGGCAGCAGGAAAAATCCCTAAAATCGGATTTGGCAAAGTTGGGAATTCTTTGGAATCATAAGTAATTATGTTTAATAATTTTTTTCATTGGAATTGCTTCTGGATCCAAAGACACTGAGTTCTTTTTCCAAGTATTATTTGTGGGAATTTTCCCAAATATTCGTTTTTGGAAGGAAATCAACCCAAGGAGAGGGAATAGCTTCAGCTTCAGATATAAACTTGGAATTTGGTTCACCCAGAAGATTTTGGAAGGAATCCCACCCATCCTCTTTCTCATGGAATTTTGGTTGGATTATGGAGTTTGGTCTTCTGGATTCTTTCCCAGCTCCAGGGATACAGGGGCAGCCACAGCTTCTCAGGGAATTCTATCCCAGCCAGGAATTCCTTCCCAAAATCCCATCTAAATCCCCATTTTCCCAATGGGAAGCCATTCCCTGTCTCCTGTCATTCCACGCTTATCCCAAATCCCTCTCCAGCTTTTCTGGGACCTCTTTAGGCTCTGGAAGGGGCTCTGAGGTCTCTCCCTGGAATTTTCCCTTCTCCAGGTGAACATTCCCAGCTCTGATCCTGAAGTTCTCCATCTTTCCAACCAACATTCCAACCTGGACATAGCCAATAACCAGAAGCAATTCCCAGACTTTCACAGGGAACATTCCCAAACTTTTACGGGGAAGCGTTTCCCAACAAAACAAAGCCGTCCCCAACTCCTGCTTCCTGAAAAACCCACGGAAATTCCGCTGCGAGTTACTCCAGGAATCCCGGAATTCCGGCTCCCCGGATGATCCAGGACTGGGCAGTACCTGGCACTGGAGGTGCCAGTCGTCCATGGGATCTTTCCATTGGCTGATCTCCCTCTGGACGGCCGCCAGCTCGTCCTGCAGGAAGCTCCACATGACGGCCACGTTGCACCCGTTGACCCAGTTGTGGTTGATGGAGATGGTGTCCTCCTGAGGGAAAAGTTTGGGATAATCCATGGATAATTAGTGATTAGTCACTAATTAAGTGATTAGGGATGATAATATGGAATGTGCTGCTCCAAAAACCTGATTCCTTCTTTAGAAACCCACAATGTCCCTAATTCCCAAAATGCAGCCGCTGACCCAGCTGTGGTTGATGGAGATGGTGTCTTCCTGAGGGACAAGTTTGGCATAATCAATGGATAATTAGTAATTAGTCACTAATTAAGTGATTAGGGATGATAATATGGAATGTGCTGCTCCAAAAATCCTGAGCAACCCACAATGTCCCTAATTCCCAAAATGCAGCCATTGACCTGGCTGTGACTGATGGAGATGGTGTCTTCCTGAGGGAAAAATGTGGGATAATCCACAGACAATCAGTAATTAGTCACTAATTAAGTTATTAGGGATGATAATATGGGGTTTGCCACTCCAAAAACCTGATTCCTTCTTTAGAAACCCACAATGTCCCTAATTCCCAAAATGCAGTCGCTGACCTGGCTGTGATTGATGGAGATGGTGTTTTCCTGAGGGAAAAGTTTGGGATAATCAATGGATAATTAGTAATTAGTCACTAATTAAGTGATTAGGGATGATAATATGGAATGTGCTGCTCCAAAAATCCTGAGCAACCCAAAATGTCCCTAAGGCCCAAAATGCAGCCATTGACCCGGCTGTGACTGATGGAGATGGTGTCTTCCTGAGGGAAAAGTTTGGGATAATCCATGGATAATTAGTGATTAGTCACTAATTAAGTGATTAGGGATGATAATATGGGATTTGCCGCTTCAAAAACCTGATTCCTTCTTTAGAAACCCAAAATGTCCCTAATTCCCAAAATGCAGCCGCTGACCCAGCTGTGATTGATGGAGATGGTGTCTTCATGAAAGATAAATTTGGGATAATCCATAGATAATTAGTGACTAATTAAGTTAATAGGAATGATATTATGGAATTTGCCACTCCAAAAATCTTATTCCTGAGCAAACCAGAATGTCCCTAATTCCCAAAATGCAGCCGCTGACCCAGCTGTGGTTGATGGAAATGGTGTCTACCTGAGGGAAAAATTTTGGATAATCCATAGATAATTAGTAACAAATCACTAATTAAGTGATTAGGGATGATAATATGGAATGTGCTGCTCCAAAAATCCTGAGCAACCCAAAATGTCCCTAATTCCCAAAATGTGGCTGTTGACTCAGCTGTGGTTGATGGAGATGGTGCCTTCCTGAGGGAAAAATGTGGGATAATCCACAGACAATCAGTAATTAGTCACTAATTAAGTGATTAGGGATGATAATATGGAATTTGCTCTGCTCCAAAAACCTGATTCCTTCTTTAGAAACCCAGAATGTCCCTAATTCCCAAAATGCAGCCATTGACCCGGCTGTGACTGATGGAGATGGTGTTTTCCTGAGGGAAAAGTTTGGCATAATCAATGGATAATTAGTAATTAGTCACTAATTAAGTGATTAGGGATGATAATATGGAATGTGCTGCTCCAAAAATCCTGAGCAACCCAAAATGTCCCTAAGGCCCAAAATGCAGCCATTGACCCGGCTGTGACTGATGGAGATGGTGTCTTCCTGAGGGAAAAATTTTGGATAATCCATAGATAATTAGCAATAAATCACTAATTAAGTGATTAGGGATGATAATATGGAATGTGCTGCTCCAAAAATCCTGAGCAACCCAAAATGTCCCTAAGGCCGAAAATGCAGCCATTGACCCGGCTGTGGTTGATGGAGATGGTGTCTTCCTGAGGGAAAAATGTGGGATAATCCCCAGACAATTAGTAATTAGTCACTAATTAAGTGATTAGGGATGATAATATGGAATGTGCTGCTCCAAAAATCCTGAGCAACCCAAAATGTCCCTAATTCCCAAAATGAATCAACTGCTTCCCAACTGCTGCTGACCCAGTTGTGGTTGATGGAGATGGTGTCTTCCTGAGGGAAAAGTTTGGGATAATCCACAGATAATTAGTGATTAGTCAATAAATTAGTTATTAGGGATGATAATATGGAACTTGCTCTGCTCCAAAAACCTGATTCCTTCTTTAGAAACCCAAAATGTCCCTAATTCCCAAAGTGCAGCTGCTGACCCGGCTGTGATTGATGGAAATTGCCTCTTCATGAAAGACAAATTTGGGATAATCCATAGATAATTAGTGACTAATTAAGTGATTAGGGATGATAATATGGAATGTGCCACTCCAAAAATGCTATTCCTGAGCAAACCAGAATGTCCCTAATTCCCAAAATGCAGCCGCTGACCCAGCTGTGATTGATGGAAATAGTGTCTACCTGAGGGAAAAATTTGGGATAATCCACAGACAATTAGTAATTAGTCACTAATTAAGTGATTAGGGATGATAATATGGAATGTGCTGCTCCAAAATCCTACTCATGAGCGACCCAAAATGTCCCTAATTCCCAAAATGCAGCCGCTGTGGTTGATGGAAATGGTGTCTTCTTGAGGGAAAAATTTTGGATAATCCATAGATAATTAGTAATTAGCAACTAATTAATTGATTAGGAATGATAATATGGAAATGTGCCCCTCCAAAAAATCCCATCTTAAGGGATCTCAAGGATCATCCCATTCCATGGGCAGGGACACTTCCCACTATCCATGGTGCATGGTGCTCCAAGCTGGAATCCCTCCTTCCTGGGAAGGATTTCCAACCTTTCCTCTTCCTTTATCCCATGATCCTCTTCCTCCTCACCCCAATTCTATCCCATGGAATTCCTGGAATGGTTTGGGTGGGAAAGGACCTTAGGGATCATCCCATTCCCACTATTCCCAGGGTGCTCCAAGCTGGAATCCCTCCCTCCTTCCTGGGAAGGATTTTCATCCTTCCCTCTTAGTTTTCCCTGGGATCTTCCTCCTCACCCCAATTCCATGCCATGGAATTCCTGGAATGGTTTGGATGGGAAAGGACCTTTGGGATCATCCCATTCCCACTCTTACAGGGTGCTCCAAGCCTCATCCAAGCTATCCTTGGACGCTTCCAGGGATGGAGCTTCTCTGGGAAAACCATTCCAAACCATTCCTTCCCAACATCACCCAGGAGAACAGATCAACCTTTTCCCCTGGAAGTCCCAATTTCCATCCATCCCAACAAAACCTTTGGGATCCCATTTCCCGATCCAAGAGCAATTCCCGGCGGGATCCATGCCCTCACCAGGTTATGAACCTGGTGGTGCCACCCGCTGGGGATGAAGACGATCTCTCCGGCTTCCTGGAGAATTTCCAGAGGGGGCTGGCTCTGGCTGTAGCGCGGATAAATCCTCTTATCCCGAAGATCCGGAGCCGTCACGTCGAAGGGGAGATTCCCGTGGCGATCCTTGAGGAATTCCTCCTGTCCTGCGGGATACAGGAGCCATTTCTTCCTGCCGCAGACGTTGGCTGACCAGCTGTAGGAGCGGAAGACGTCGGCGTGGAACGGCGTCCTGGGAAAAATCAGGGATGGGCGGCAATCAATCCCGGAAAAATTCCAACAGGGATCCGAGTCGCCGAGAAGCTGAGGTGCTGATCCCAAAATCCCTTATGGAATTTCGGTTGGATTATGGACTTTGGCTAAGTCAAAAGGCCAATATATGGATACTGATCCCAAAATTCCCCTTATGGAATTTCAGTTGGATTATGGGGTTTTGGTTATTAAAAGGCCATTATGTGGATACTGATCCTGAAATTCCTCATGGAATTTTGGTTGGATTATGAGTTTTTGTTATTAAAAAGCCACTGTATCCATACTGATCCCAAAATTCTTCATGGAATTTCAGTTGATTATGGAGTTTTGGCTATTAAAAGGCCACTGTATCCATACTGATCCCAAAATTCCTCATGGAATTTTGGTTGGATGATGGGAGTTTTGGTTATTAATAGGGCATTATGTGGATACCGATCCCAAAATTCCTCATGGCATTTCGGATGGATTATGGAGTTTTGGCTATTAAAAGGCTGTTATAAGGATGCTGATCCCAAAATTCTTCATGGAATTTTGGTTGGATGATGGAGTTTTGGATATTAAAAGGCCACTGTATCCATACCAATCCCAAAATTCCTCATGGAATTTCAGCTGGATTATGGGAGTTTTGGCTATTAAAAGGCCACTGTATCCATACTGATCCCAAAATTCCTGATGGAATTTTGGTTGGATGATGGGAGTTTTGGCTATTAATAGGGCATGACGTGGATACTGATGCCGAAATTCCTCGTGGAATTTTGGATGGATTATGGAGTTAAGGATTATATGGATGCTGGTCCCAAAATTCTTCATGGAATTTTGGTTGGATGATGGAATTTTGGATATTAAAAGGCCACTGTATCCATACTGATCCCAAAATTCCTGATGGAAATTCGGTTGGGTGATGGGAGTCTTGGTTATTAATAGGGCATTACATGGATACTGATCCTGAAATTCCCCATGGAATTTCAGTTGGATGATGGAGTTTTGGCTATTAAAAAATCACTGTATCCATACAGATCCCAAAATTCCTCATGGAATTTTGGTTGGATGATGGGAGTTTTGGTTATTAATAGGGCATTATGTGGATACCGATCCCAAAATTCCTCATGGCATTTCGGATGGATTATGGAGTTTTGGCTATTAAAAGGCTGTTATAAGGATGCTGATCCCAAAATTCTTCATGGAATTTTGGTTGGATGATGGAGTTTTGGATATTAAAAGGCCACTGTATCCATACCAATCCCAAAATTCCTCATGGAATTTCAGTTGGATGATGGAGTTTTTTGCTATTAAAAAGCCACTGTATCCATACTGATCCCAAAATTCCTGATGGAATTTTGGTTGGATGATGGGAGTTTTGGCTATTAATAGGGCATGACGTGGATACTGATGCCGAAATTCCTCGTGGAATTTTGGATGGATTATGGAGTTAAGGATTATATGGATGCTGGTCCCAAAATTCTTCATGGAATTTTGGTTGGATGATGGAATTTTGGATATTAAAAGGCCACTGTATCCATACTGATCCCAAAATTCCTGATGGAAATTCGGTTGGGTGATGGGAGTCTTGGTTATTAATAGGGCATTACATGGATACTGATCCTGAAATTCCCCATGGAATTTCAGTTGGATGATGGAGTTTTGGCTATTAAAAAATCACTGTATCCATACAGATCCCAAAATTCCTCATGGAATTTTGGTTGGATGATGGGAGTTTTGGTTATTAATAGGGCATTATGTGGATACCGATCCCAAAATTCCTCATGGCATTTCGGATGGATTATGGAGTTTTGGCTATTAAAAGGCTGTTATAAGGATGCTGATCCCAAAATTCTTCATGGAATTTTGGTTGGATGATGGAGTTTTGGATATTAAAAGGCCACTGTATCCATACCAATCCCAAAATTCCTCATGGAATTTCAGTTGGATGATGGAGTTTTTTGCTATTAAAAAGCCACTGTATCCATACTGATCCCAAAATTCCTGATGGAATTTTGGTTGGATGATGAGAGTTTTGGTTATTAATAGGGCATGACGTGGATACTGATGCCGAAATTCCTCGTGGAATTTTGGATGGATTATGGAGTTAAGGATTATATGGATGCTGGTCCCAAAATTCTTCATGGAATTTTGGTTGGATGATGGAATTTTGGATATTAAAAGGCCACTGTATCCATACCAATCCCAAAATTCCTGATGGAAATTCAGTTGGGTGATGGGAGTCTTGGTTATTAATAGGGCATTACGTGGATACTGATCCTGAAATTCCCCATGGAATTTCAGCTGGATGATGGAGTTTTGGATATTAAAAAGCCACTGTATCCATACAGATCCCAAAATTCCTCATGGAATTTCAGTTTGATTATGTAGTTTTGGTTATTAAAAAATCACTGTATCCATCCTGATCCTGAAATTCCTCGTGGAATTTTGGTTGGATGATGGAGTTTTGGCTATTAAAAGGCCATTTTATATAGATACTGATCCCAAAATTCCTGATGGGATTCTGGCTGGATAATGGAGTGTTTTACATCCTCTGCACTTCTCCTCCTTAATTTACCCCAGAAATCCCTTTAAGGGCAGGAAGTTCTGATAAAAACACCCCAAAATGCAGCTTTACAACCAACACCGGGCTGGAAATTTCACCTGGAATTTTCCCCTGGAAAACACTGGAGTTATCCCTGCACATCCCAAGTGGCTGATCCCAAGGGAATTTCTCCCCTAATCTCCCAGATCCCCTTTTTTTTTTTTTTTTTTTTTTTTTGGTGGGCACAATTTGGGGTTTTCCTTTTCCCCTCCCATCCAGAGCCAGCTGGGACACCAGGAGACCTGCCTGGTTATCCTGATGGATAATGGGATAATTTCCTGGGATATTCAGCTGGAAAATTCAGTTTTTTTGGGATGAGAGCCTTACCAGGATCCCTTGGGTCCCATGTAGACGAACCTAAAATCATCCACGGCCACGGCATCCCAATATTCGTTGAGCCAATCCGAGGAAAAATACACGGGAGTGGTGTAAACATCCTGCTCTGGAAAAGCTCTGGAAAACAAAAGCACTTGGAAAAGCAGCTCAGGAAAACAGGATACCCCAAATGCAGTGGGAAGAGCAAGGTGGATCCTTTAGGATGGAATTCCAGGGGTTTGGGGTGGAAGGGAGTTGAAGGAGCAGCTTATCCCAAATTTTCACTGTCCCAGATTGTTCCATGCTGGTCTTGGGCATTTCCAGGGATTCAGCGGCAGCCACGGCTTCTCTGGGAATTCCATCCCAGCCCCTCCCCATTCCCACAGGGAAAATTCCTTCCCAAGGTTCTTTTCCAGAGCTGGGGGAAGGTAACTTGAAGGAGTGGGAATGCTCCCAGAAAAGCCAATGGATACTAAAGGATCCTAAATCCAACATGGCCATGGAATAATCCCAACTCAAATCCCACTCCAGGTCTGACTGTAGGAGATGTTCCACTGCCCTTTTCCATAGGGAGAAAACATGGAATGGTTTGGCTGGGAAGGGACCTTAAGGATCATCCCATTCCATGGCCAAGGACAATTCCCACTGTTCCAGGCAGCTCCAGCCTGGCCTTGGGCACTGCCAGGGATCCAGGGGCAGCCACAGCCGCTCTGGGAATTCCATCCCCCCCCTCCCAGCCAGGAATTCCTGCCCAAACTGAGTTGAAAAGGATCTTGAGCTTGGAATAAAAGCTGGGAATTAGGCTGAGGGAATAGGGGGGATTTTAGGAATTCAGAGCTCTATTTGGAGCTGGGAGCCAAGACTTTGGAATCCCTCAGGGAATGCTGGAATATTTTCCACAACTGAAAATCATGGAATCATGGAATTTTTAGGGTTGGATGGGATCCTAAAGAACATCCAGTTCCAACTTCATGCCAGGGACACTTCCCACTGTCCCAGGCTGCTCCAAGCTGGCTTTGAGCACTTCCAGGGATGGAGCAGCTTCTCAGAAAAATCCATCCCAACCAGGAATTCCTTCCCAAATTAAGTGGGAAGCCGCCATTCCCTGGCTCCTGTCATTCCATGCTTATCCCAAATCCCTCTCCAGCTTTCCTGGAGCGCCCTTAGGCTCTGAGGATTCCATGGATCCTTCCCTTCTCCAGAGGGACATTCCCAGTGCGGGAGTGTTGGGAATGAGCCCTGACCTGCTCAGGTGCCAGTCCTTGAGGTAGAGGCAGCCCCGGGGGGAGCGGTAGCCGTTCCTGATGTATTCCCGCCAATATTCCACGTATTCCTTGAAGGGCAGCTGCTCCTTGGGGTTGGAATTGTATTCCTTGACATCGCACTTGGCAACGGGCACCACGGCTTCTCCTGGAATTACAAATCCCTCAGGAATTCTCCAGAGGAACGAGGAGGATTCATCAAATCATCTCCACCTCAAGCTCAGCCCCGCAGAGTTCCAGGCTTTAAATATTCCAAAGGAACCATCCCAATCATGGAGCCATCATTCCAGGGAAACACCACCCAGGAATTACAAAGCCCTTGGGAATGAGGAGGACCCATCAAATCACCTCCCTAAAGTTCATCCCTGCGGAATTCTGGGCTTTAAATATTCCAAAGGAACCATCCCAATCCCAGAACCATCATTCCAGGTAAACACCATCCAGGAATTACAAATCCCTTGGGAATGAGGAGGACCCATCAAATCACCTCTCTCAAACTCATCCCTGCAGAATTCCAGGCTTTAAATATTCCAGAGGAACCATCCCAATCCCAGAACCATCATAACAGGGGAACACCATCCAGGAATTACAAATCCCTTGGGAATGAGAAGGACCCATCAAATCACCTCCCTGAAGTTCATCCCTGCGGAATTCTGGGCTTCAAATATTCCAGAGGAATATTCTATATCCCAGAACCATCATTCCACGGAAATACAATCCTGGAATTACAAATCCCTCAGGAATTTTCCTTGGGAATGAGGAGGATCCATCAAATCACCTCCCTCAATTTCATCCCCTACGGAATTCTGGGCTTCAAGTATTACAATGGAACCATCCCAATATTCCAGAACCATCATTCCAGGGAAAAAATGATGCAGAAATTACAAATCCCTTGGGAATGAGGAGGACCCATCAAATCACCTCCCTAAAGTTCATCCATGCGGAATTCTGGGCTTCAAATATTCCAGAGGAACCATCCCAGAACCATCACTCCAAGCTAACACAATCCAGGAATTACAAATCCCTCAGGAATTTTCCTCAGGAATGAGGAGGACCCATCAAATCATCTCCAACTCAATCTCATCCCTGCGGAATTCCAGGCTTCAAATATTCCAAAGGACCCATCCCAATGTTCCAGAACCATCATAACAGGGGAACAGGATCCAAGAATTACAAATCCCTTGGGAATGAGGAGGGCACATCAAATCACGTCCCTCAAACCCATTCCTGTAGAATTCCAGGCTTCAAATATTCCAATGGAACCGTCCCAATCCCAGAACCATCATTCCAGGGGAAAATGATCCAGGAGCTACAAATCCCTCGGGAATCCTCTGCAGGAATGAGGAGGACCCATCAAATCACCTCCCTAAAGTTCATCCCTGCGGAATTCCGGGCTTTAAATATTCCAAAGGAACCATCCCAATCCCAGAACCATCACTCCAAGCTAACAAACTCCAGGAATTACAAATCCCTCAGGAATTTTCCTCAGGAATGAGGAGGATCCATCAAATCACCTCAATCTCATCCCCATGGAATTCTGGGCTTCCAATATCACAATGGAACCATCCCAATATTCCAGAACCATCATTCCAGGGAAAAATGATCCAGAAATTACAAATCCCTTGGGAATGAGGAGGACCCATCAAATCACCTCCCTGAAGTTCATCCCTGCGGAATTCCGGGCTTTAAATATTCCAGAGGAACCATCCCAATCCCAGAACCATCACTTCAAGCTAACAAAATCCAGGAATTATTTTCCTGAATAAAATCCAAAATCCCTCAGGAATTTTCCTCAGGAATGAGGAGGACCCATCAAATCACCTCCCTGAAGTTCATCCCTGCGGAATTCCAGGCTTCAAATATTCCAAAGGACCCATCCCAATATTCCAGAACCATCATAACAGGGGAACACCATCCAAGAATTACAAATCCCTTGGGAATGAGGAGGACCCATCAAATCACCTCCCTGAAGTTCATCCCTGCGGAATTCCAGGCTTTAAATATTCCAAAGGAACCATCCCAATCCCAGAACCATCACTCCAAGCTAACAAACTCCAGGAATTACAAATCCCTCAGGAATTTTCGTTGGGAATGAGGAGGATCCATCAAATCACCTCAATCTCATCCCCATGGAATTCTGGGCTTCAAATATTACAATGGAACCATCCCAATATTCCAGAACCATCATTCCAGGGGAACACCATCCAAGAATTACAAATCCCTTGGGAATGAGGAGGACCCATCAAATCACCTCCCTAAAGTTCATCCATGTGGAATTCTGGGCTTCAAATATTATAATGGAACCATCCCAATATTCCAGAACCATCATTCAAAGGGAACACAATCCAGGAATTACAAATCCCTCAGGAATTTTCCTCGGGAATGAGGAGGACCCATCAAATCACCTCCAACTCAATCTCATCCCTGCGGAATTCCAGGCTTCAAATATTCCAAAGGAACCATCCCAATGTTCCAGAACCATCATAACAGGGGAACAGGATCCAAGAATTACAAATCCCTTGGGAATGAGGAGGGCGCATCAAATCACCTCCCTCAAACTCATCCCTGCAGAATTCCAGGCTTTAAATATTCCAGAGGAACCATCCCAATGTTCCAGAACCATCATTCCAGGGGAACACAATCCAGGAATTACAAATCCCCCAGGAATTTTTGTTGGGAATGAGGAAGATTCATCAAATCACCTCCCTCAAGCGCATCCCCACGGAATTCCAGGCTTCAAATATTCCAAAGGAACCATCCCAATATTCCAGAAACATCATTCCAGGGAAAAATGATCCAGGAATTACAAATCCCTTGGAAAAGAGGAGGACCCATCAGATCACCTCCCTAAAGTTCATCCCTGCGGAATTCCGGGCTTCAAATATTCCAAAGGAACTATCCCAATCCCAGAACCATCCTTCAAAGGGAACACAATCCAGGAATTACAAATCCCCCAGGAATTTTCGTTGGGAATGAGGAAGATTCATCAAATCACCTCCCTCAAGCGCATCCCCACAGAATTCCGGGCTTCAAATATTCCAAAGGAACCATCCCAATATTCCAGGGAAACACCATCCAAATCCAGAGTTGTTTATTTTAAGTGACCTGGATTTTCCTGCTGTTTATTCCATGTGCCCCAAATTTTCCTGGTTTTTCTTTGCTGTGACCTGAATTTTCCAGCTTTTTATTTTAAAGGGAATTTTCCCCTTAAATCCATTAAGAGGGAGATATTGATTAGGACTGAATCCTTTAGGATTTGGAATAATTAAATGATCCAAGATTTTGAATTTATTTGAATAATTAATTATAAAGAAAACGGGGGAATAAATTTCAGCTTGGAATCTGCAAACCAGACCATGAAGAAATGGGAAAAATCCATAGATTAATTTTGGACAAAAGCTTGGAATTTGGGGTTTTTTAGTGCTTTTATCCCTAAAATTCAATCCTAAAAAGCTGAATCCTTTAGGATTTGGAAAAAAATCCCAGGATTTACCAAACTTCTGCAGGAGATGCTCAGAGTTGGGTTTCCCATGGAAAAAAAATCCATGGATTAATTTAGGATGAAAACTTGGAATTTTGGGTTTTTAAAGTGCTTTTATCCCTGAAATTCAATCCTATAAAGCTGAATCCTTTGAGATTTGGAATAATTAAATTCTCCAATATTTAAAATTTATTTCAATATAAATAAAAAATGAAATTTGGGCGTGAATAAATGGAAAAAAAAAAAAAAAAAACCTGTATTAGTTTAGGAAAATCATGGAATTTTGGTTTTTTTAGTGCTTTTATCACTAAAATGCAGTCCTAAAATACTGAATTCTTTAGGATTGGGAAGAAATCCCAGGACTTACCAAACTCCTGCAGGAGATGCTCAAAGTTGGGTTTCCCATCCCACGTCACCCAGTTTTTCCTGCTGCCCCAATCCTCGGTGAACTTGGCCGAGAAAATGCAGGGATGGTTGGGAATGAGATAATCCCGGAAAAAATCGGAGTAAGTGAAGGAATCGGCTTTGTCAATAAAATCCACGTGGCCCCCGGGGAGAGCACCCGGAGAAGAATTCCCAAAATCCCGGAAAAAAGCGGTGGAACAGGCAAAGGTTGCCCTGTCCATGCAGGCTGGAAAAAATTCCTGGCTGAGCCAAGGAATTTGGAAAAAGAATCCCAAAAAAAATCCCTGCTAAAAATGGGATTTTAGGATTTAAAAGTGTGGAAAATCATGGGGAGATTGAGGGGGAATGAGCGTTGGGATAATTTGGATTTTCCATGGTTTTTGGGATAGCTGGGAAATGGATGTTTTTTATGGATGTTTCTTCCTCTTGTCAGAGCTGGTTCCGTCCTAAAAAAGCAGGAAAAGAAAATTTCAGTGGGATATTCCCAAGGAATTAATGAATTGAAGGGGTGGAGGGAAAGAAATTCCTGAAATATTTGGGAATGCTCTGGGATCATCCCTTTGTTCCCAGATCTGGCACCTCCCACTTACTACAGAGCTTTTCCCAAGGATTTGGAGCAATTGCAGAATAAAAATAGGGGAAAAAAATGGAAAAGAAACCAAAAAAGAGGGAAGGGGAAGGCTGAGCACAGAGGGAATAAAGCAAAGAGGCTGCAGGGATGGGATTTGGGAAACACTGAGGGAAAAGGGGATTTAGGGATCTCCAGGAGGGAATTCCCATCTCACAGAGCTCCAATGGCATATTGGGATTGAGGAACCTCCATGAAGGAATTTTCCCTTCTGGAGCTCCAAGGGAGTGTCGGAATTATGGGACATCCATGAGGGAATTCCTCCCTCAGAGGTCTCCAAGGGAACACTGGGATTAAGGGAAATCCATGAGAGAATTTTCCCTCACAGAGCTCCAAGGAAATATCGGGATTAAGGGACATACATGAGGGAATTCCTCTCTCACAGAGTGCCAAGGGAATATTGAAATTAAGGAACATCCATGAAGGAATTCTTCCCTCAGAGATCTCCATGGGAACACCAGGATTAAGGAACATCCATGAGGGGATTTTTCCCTCTGAGATCTCCAAGGGAATATCAGAATGAAGGGAAATCCATGAGGGAATTCCTCCCTCACAGAGCTCCAAGGGAACACTGGGATATGGCAGTGGGATAAAATGATTTCCATGAGGGAATTCTCCCCTCATGGAGCTCCAAGGGAATATTGAAATTAAGGAACCTCCATGAGGAGATTTTCCCTGAGAGATCTCCAAGGGAATATCGGACTTACGGGATACCTATGAGGTCCAGGAAACACTGGGATATCACAGTGGGAATAAAGGATTTCCATGTGGGAATTCCTCCCTCAGAGATCTCCAAGGGATATGGCAGTGGGATTAAAGGATTTTCCATGAGGGAATTCCTCTCTCACAGAGTGACAAAGGAATATCAGAATTAAAGAACATCCATGAGGGAATTCCCTCCTCAGAGATCTCCAAGAGAATATAGGAATTAAGGGAAATGCATGAGGGAATTCCTCCCTCATGGAGCTCCAAGGAAGCACTGGGATATCACAGTGGGAATAAAGAATTTCCATGTGGGAATTCCTCCCTCAGAGATCTCCAAGGGAACACCAGGATTAAAGGGATATCCATCAGGGAATTCCCCCTCAGAGATCTCCATGGGAACACCGGGATTAGGGAACCTCCATGAGGGAATTCCCTTCTCAGAGATCTCCATGGGAACACCGGGATTAGGGAACCTCCATAAGGGGATTCCCCCCACGGCCATCCCCAGTGTTGGGGGAGGACCCGGACACCACAGGGCGTCGCACACGCCATCCCCGCCCCGCCCTCCCGTCCCACCCGCACCGTAGCTGCCCGCAGGAACCGGGAGCACCCCGAGGAGTGCCACACTCACCTCCGCTCCCCTTAGGGCAGCCCCGCGGCGCGAATGGCGGCGTCGGCAGCGACAATGAATGGTTATGGCGGGTGCCGCCGGAACCTCTGCGTCGGGCGGGTGGGGGCCGGGGGGGAGGTGAAAAGCGGAGCGCAGCGGCGCGGGGTTTAGCCAATAGGAGCGTTCAGGTGCGCGGGGCTCAGCCAATAAGAGTGCGCGGAGGGCGCAGGCGCGGAGCGGGGTCGGTGCCGCACTGAGGGAGGTGCGTGGGGAGCCGGGGGGGGCTCGGACGGGCCCGGGGGGGGCTCCAAATGGGGCTGGGGGAGGCTCCAGATGGGGCGGGAGGCGCTGGACGTGGGGCTTGGGGTTGGAAATGGGGCTAGGGGGTCACAAATTTGGGCTTGGGAGGGCTCCGGACCGGGAATGAGGGGCTCCGATCCATGGCCGCGGTGGTCTCGGACCGGGACAGGGAGGTCTGGATGGGGCTGGAGGGACTGGAAATGGCGCGGGAGGGGCTGGGCGTGGAACTTGGGGCTGGAAATGGGGCTGGAGGAGTCCCAAATTGGGGCTTGGGGGGGCTCCGGACAGGGAAAGGGGGGCTCCGATCTATCGCCGCAGTGATCTTGGACCGAGGCGGGGAGGTCCGGATGGGGCTGGAGGGACTCGAAATGCGGCGGGAGGGGCTGGAGGTGGAGAGGGGCTGGAAATGGGGCTGGGGGGGCTCCAGTCCGTGGTCGGTGTGGTCTTGGACCGGGAGTGTCCGGATGGGGCTGGAGGGACTCGAAATGGGACGGGAGAAGCTCGAGGTGGAGCTTGGGGTTGGAAATGGGGCTTGAGGGGGCTCTGATCCATGGTCGGTGTGGTCTCGGACCGGGGGTTTTGTGTCGGGGCTTGGGTTGGGCTCAAACCGGGGCTGGGGAGGTTCCACACCGGGAACCGGGGAGCGACGGCGGCTCCGAGCTGGGGCTTGGAGAGGGCGCCGGGAATGGCGGGGCTCGGGATGGGGCTGGGAGGCTCCATGAGTGGGATCCTGGGCTGAGCTGGCACCGAGGGAAGGCTCGAGCGGGGCTGGGATGGGCTGGGAGCGGGGCAGAGATTTGGAGAGGGTATTGATGGGTAGGGAAGGGACCTGGGTGAGGGGATTGGGGGAGATTAATAAATTCCTGGATAACTGTAGGAGTGAAGTGAGGTAGGACAGTGGGGATGGACAGAGACAAGAGATCTCTGGAGCCAGGGCTTGGAATTTGGGGTTTATTGCAAAAGACCTGGGTGCAGGGGCCTTTTGGGATTTGGGGTTTATTGCAAAGGGCCTGGGTGCAGGGGCCTTTTGGGATTTGGGGTTTATTGCAAAGGGCCGGGGTGCAGGGGCCTTTTAGAATTTGGGGTTTATTGCAAAGGGCCTGGGTGCAGGGGCCTTTTCGAGTTTGGGGTTTATTGCAAAGGGCCTGGGTGCAGGGGCCTTTTGGGATTTGGGGTTTATTGCAAAGGGCCGGGGTGCAGGGGCCTTTTGGGATTTGGGGTTTACTGCAAAGGGCCTGGGTGCAGGGGCCTTTTGGGATTTGGGGTTTATTGCCAAGGACCTGGGTGCAGGGCCCTGCTGGAGCTGCCAGGCACAGCTCAGAGCAGGCCTGAGAGAAGAGAGGGGGAGAGAGGATGAGACAGAGTAAAAGAGGATGAGAGAGTGAGGTTCCTGTTACAATAAATCATTTTCTGTGTTGGATATTCTAATTCTCACTAACCAGTCTAATGCAGCCTACGAATCCTACAGCATTTACGTACAGCCTGTAAGAATCAGTACAATCCATGTTAGAGTGTTTGCTTTGAGCCAGGTGTAATGGGCTCCAGGAGGCCTGTAACACACCTGAGATAGCTCAGTCACCTTTGGAGGCATAAAAATCAGCAGGACGGCTTCTGTTGCAGTGTTGGAAACAAAAAGGTTTAATAAAAGGCAAAATAACAAACAGAGAAAAACTGAGCCAGGTGCCAGAGGTTTTTGCTCCTCACAAAAGCCCTTAGTTTCTTTGGTCACTCTTTTTCTAGTTAATTGCTCAGGCAGGACTGTTTGGCTTCTGTCTGATTAGCTGTCCTTAGGTTTGAGATGGAGTCCCCCAGTCCTATGAGGTGCCTTTTCACTTAATCAATGAGAGAAACTTCTCTGGTTCTCTGCTGCTCACAGTGACCCCGAGATGTGTCACAAAGTCTCTTTTCCCAGCCCAGTGCCCAGAGAAGGAGTCAGAGCTCTGCATTTCTCGGTCTCATTGTTGTTTATTGTTCCTTATCTATAAAATTCTTTCTCCTGTCCAGCCCAGCTCCGCTCAGCAGCACAGACAGAGGCACTCTGCCTGCCCCAGGGCTGTGTTATCTTTTTATACTAAAAACTATGTGTGCAATATTTACAATTCCTTCCCAATACCCATCACCTGTGTTAGACACTGAGCTTCTACTCTAAACCAACCCAAAAGTGCCACCATCACAGCAGAAGATGGAGGCCAAGAAGGAGAAGGAGAAAGGCTGGGCACACCCAGATTCCTCCATCTTTCCCCCTGAGCCCCCAGTCTAAAAACCCCAAAAATCTGTTTTTCACCCCGTGATAAATTCACTATCATTCTACTGGCTTGTAATTCTGCATATAAAGGTTGGCAATTGTTTTTTCCAAGGGCTCAATCAAAGGCACAGGGGGGTCTGGGCTCTGTGCCAGGGTCTCTCAGCAGGGCAGGGGCTCGAGTCCTGCAGGGCAGCCAGAGGAATTTCCTGGGTTCCCACAGAAACTTCCGGGCTCATTTCCTTCTAAGGGTCCAAGGACAGTTTTGTCACTCTGTCATCAGGGGGCACATTCCTGCATTCCCATCCTGTGCTACATTTTAAACCCCAAAATCTCCTCTTTGGGTCCCTTCTGCCAAGCTGCAGGGTCTGCTCTGCCCCTTGGAGCTGTCTGCAGGCAGAGGGTGTTGTTTGATCACCTTCAGCCAGCCACACCATTGTTTTCCAGTTGTTCACTAACTGAGGGATCTCAAAGCTGCTTTCATTTCAATCTCCCTCACAGTTTCCATATTCTCCAAATCTTTTGCCAGACAATCATGTTTATAAAACTTTCCTGTTCCATCTTCCCCAGCTGGTAACGCTGAGTTGTGTGGGAGCGTGGGCTGGGAATCCTGAGGGAGCTGGGAATGTTCAGCCTGAGCAAAAGGAGGCTCAGGGGGAATTTCTGGGGTCTGGCTCTGCTGCCAGGGAACAGGGCCAAGGAGCAGAGGGAGATTTTGGTTGGATATTTGGGAAAT